AAGTTGGAATGCGCACAGGGTTTCCCCGTAACAACCCGGATGATTTAACAGGGGAAGAAAACCATACCGTCAAAAGGGGGACGAAACTGGGACAAGATTGGAACGTCGGGTATTTTCAACGTAATTGGACAATTGGCGTTCTTTAAAAGCCCTTCGAGTACTTTCACCAAGAAGTCACTTTGCGTTTAACAAGAGGGGTTGCTTCACACAGTCCTCCATCTCCTAAAATATTGTTCCATCTAACCATCATGGATTTAGCATTCCCAATGCACCCGGGATTGTCCCCCTCATAATTTGTCTCCACTGTTTGCCAGACAATGCGATCAACGAGAACACAGTAGCACTGGCCTCTTCGAAGCTTATCCATAATTTCTCTATACGACTAGTTACATATGTACCTAGAAAATGGCATTAAAGCCGACCCTATTACAGTACACAGGAAAGGCTGTTTCGTGTTTTGGTGTTACCCTTTCGATGCCTGTTTTGTCTCGAAGCTGCACCGGTGAGCCAATCAGAAATCGCTCATCGGCCTCAGAAGTCCTGTTGTTACAGGGGTTGGCAATTCTTCCATGGTGTTTTCCCTTTATTTCCAGCGCACACCAGTGGTCCTTCTCCACTGCCAATTGATGACTGCAGAGAACAGAAGACAACAGCTAAAGTGGAAACAACTGGTCGACTCACTTTAGAGTGAGAACTCACTCGCTGGAGAAGCGTGGTGATGCCATCAGAAAAAACGCTCATCACATCGCTGTATATTAATCGCTCTCTATTAAGGTCCTCCCCCAATGGAAAACCCATCCGGGAAAGAACACCTCTCTAACCAGGATCCCCTTCCTCTGTACAGGAAACTGCAAAAGGAAAGGGAAGAAAAAACACGCGTCAAAACCGTTTAAGCGCGTAGATTACCGAGGGTGGACTCTCTACAACGTGGAATTGCCTGCTCTCGGTGTTTAGTAACAGCTCTATGCTCCCGTTCAGCACAGGGCATGTGTACAGGCACAGCATCCCTCAGATCACAAGACCTGCTAGCCACGCCCGTGCAACCCACATACGCCAGTTGGCGTGCCAATTGGCACGCCCATCAACGTTTAATCGATCCGTAAAACAGTTCACAACACCCTCACATCACCGGGCCCGCAACACGCCCAGCACAACCAACGTTGCAAGGGAAACACAGCTCCTCCAGCGCCGGTTACGAATCGGAGTGGGGGTTGCGACCTCGTGTGGCAGTCTGACAGCCTGGCAGATGCAAGCACACCCGCCGGTAGCAGCACACCCCCGGATCTAAACAGCGCAGAAACACAAAACGTCCTCCCCCATCCGGACCAATCGCAAACGCCAAAACTGCGATTTCTGGAATTTCTTTTTGCGCCTGTTTGGGTAAATCCGCGATGGGAAGGGGAAAACAAAAACTCTCAAACGCACCGACGAGTCGACGTCGACAAACAAAGATTTCGTCAAAGCGGACGGGTTTGGGGGTTTTCCCTCGCCTTATAAAATCAAAATGAGATCCTTCTTTTGAGAAAAAAATTTTTCACCCCCTTTTCCCTTTCCTTCTTCTTCTCCTTCAGTAGGTTATTCCTTCAAGTAACACATACAACAATGGCTACCGAAAAGAAACAATCCACTTTCCTTATCGACTTCCTTATGGGTGGTGTCTCCGCCGCCATCTCTAAGACCGCTGCTGCTCCAATTGAGCGTGTCAAGTTGTTGATCCAAAACCAGGATGAGATGATCAAGCAAGGCCGTCTTGCTAAGCGTTACGACGGTATTGCCGACTGTTTCAGAAGAACTGCCGGTGAGGAGGGTGTTGTTTCCTTCTGGAGAGGTAACACCGCCAACGTTATCCGTTACTTCCCAACCCAAGCTTTGAACTTTGCTTTCAAGGACAAGTTCAAAGCCATGTTCGGTTTCAAGAAGGAGGAGGGTTACTGGAAATGGTTTGCCGGTAACTTGGCCTCTGGTGGTCTTGCCGGTGGTTCCTCCCTTTTGTTCGTCTACTCTTTGGATTACGCCAGAACCAGATTGGCCAACGATGCCAAGTCTGCTAAGGGTAACGGTGAGAGAGAGTTCAACGGTTTGTTGGATGTTTACAAGAAGACCTTGGCTTCTGACGGTATTGCCGGTTTGTACAGAGGTTTCTTGCCATCCGTTGTCGGTATTGTTGTCTACAGAGGTTTGTACTTCGGTTTGTACGACTCCTTGAAGCCAGTCTTGTTGACCGGTTCTTTGGAGAACAACTTCTTGGCTGCTTTCTTGTTGGGTTGGGTTGTCACCACCGGTGCCTCCACCGCTTCTTACCCACTGGACACTGTTAGAAGAAGAATGATGATGACCTCTGGTCAAGCTGTTAAGTACAACGGTGCCTTCGACGCTTTCAGAAAGATTGTTGCTGCTGAGGGTGTCAAGTCCTTGTTCAAGGGTTGTGGTGCTAACATCTTGAGAGGTGTCGCCGGTGCCGGTGTTATCTCCTTGTACGACCAATTGCAAGTCATCTTGTTCGGTAAGAAGTTCAAATAAACTACTTAACCTGAATTAGATTGAATCTAGATACTCTTACGGTTAATATTCTCATTTATCTTTTGTACAGAACTACTCTACAAGATCTAAAGTAAATAGCTTGTTTCATACTTCTGAATTTCCCCCGTAGGTGTGTAATTAGTAACCTCGGTGCTGAAGCCGGCCAATCCCGACCGGCTGAAGAATACGGAGTGCATGGTGGGAAGTCACGTGACTCGGGCCGAGATGGCTAAAGCCTTGATTGTAGACTGTACAACATGCGTGTGTTCTTGACTCCGATCACCGATGAAGCACATAAGTTCCAGGTGTCTAGAAACACCTTCCCTTGTCGAAGATAGAGGGGATAAGGTTATGGTAGAGACTTGGCTTTAAGGTTGTACAGCGTTAATCTTAAGCTCATCGTTTCATTGCCCTTTATCACTGTGGTTTTCGTGAGTTGATGAGGATCACATCTCACGGACCAACACCTCTTTTTGGACATGAAACTCATAACCCACGAGATAAGCTTCAGGGATGACCTTGCGCTGATTTTACTCTCCGTGTTAATGAGGTAGCTTTTACTTCTTCACGCGTAAAAGCAATACTGGAAATACTTGGTGAATATGGATTATGAGCCGTTTTTTGTCATGGCACCTTGGAAAATTAGGCTGTTATGAAAGTCTTTCAATTTTGTCATACATGTTGCACTCATCGATGCCTTAAACAACCTTTTAAGTCGTTGTGATGAATTCAATTGGGGGACCCCCCCCCCTCTAGCCGAGTTGTGGAGAGCACAATGTGTGACACTGACCTTGTATTACAGATATATTGTCCCTGTGCCGATGGTGTTAATAGTGAGAGATGCTCCCGATCGGCTGATAAACAATATGGATTAAAAGAGAGTGTAGTTTTGATACAGCATGTAAACGACATCACCAAACGTCACCGCACGTCCTTTTCAAGCGATCAAGAGGGAGGGTCTGGACTTTGTAGAAATGAGCATTATCTCGGGTCAGTGTGTGCAGTGTCAACTACACCAAATCCTAATCCGTAATACACACATGGATAATAGTTCCCTGTTCTCTAATATTGTTGTGGAAAAACATACAGTGCGTCTAGGTGAACGGCTCCAACGTAGAACTCTTTCAACTGTAAAAGATTAATTTCCAACAAGGTGAAGACACTTCTAAAGCCTCACATTCAAAGTCATAGTCTTGTTTCGACAGAAAAATAAAGTCAAGATCGACTTGCTACGTGTAAGTTCTATCTTTTGAGTTTAGATGTTTCAGATCGGACGTACTATGCCATCTTGTAAGACGTATGAATATTACAATTGTGGGATTTATTATATGTTATTTAAACAGCCTGAAATTGTTTCTTAGGAGGGGACGGACTATAATTATGGCATAGGTTACCGGTGGATGTTCTCGAACATGGACACGGTTTCTGTACAGTTAGTCACGATGGCACTGTCAACGTATTACATCGACAATTATATTTTGAGATACAAATGCATGGAATACCTTTAAGATAAGCGTAGGACGTCAACTTGTGTACTGGAAAGAATATACCCGATCAATATGCTCAGCAGTGGGCGAGTGCTTGTGTGATGGCCCAGATGGGAAATGGAACCATCTGTGTTATTTTCTATTGGCAAGGCACAAGGCATCTTAGTTGACGTCCAGTTACGTAGCTTTTGTCAATGCCACGCCTGTCCTCTTGGTATTCCAGCGTACTGTGACTTATAAACCACTATCACATTTGTAGCGCATGAATCAGCAGGAAGTCCTGGCTCTGATCGGTTTACCAATCGCCACAGATAAGAGTTACGCCTTGGTTTCAGTGTGATAGAGATGGTCATGTCCAACATATGCTTGATCGGCTCTTCAAAAGAAGCCAAGTTGACACAAGCCTCTCTCAACTACAATCCAAGATGATGTATCGAAGCTTTCAGTGACATCTGTGGCGTCTCACACCATTTAAAAATATCGGTGCATGATCTAGCTACTGGAGCCTGTATATTTGAAGAATTAACAAGCCTTGATGAAACGCACCCAACTAATAGTTTTCTAAGGCTTTACGATAGAGTTCTCGCCACGGATTTGTGTAGTTATGGCATCCTCCACTAACGCACTATACTGTTGAACCTTCTTTCCGATGGCAGTTGACCGGTGACAGTTGACCGACTTCACCATTCGCTGTATGCATGCCTCGTGTATATGAATTTCAGATACACACTTACGTGGTATATGGAACTGATGTAGCTCGGATGCAGAGCAGTAAATAAGGTGGAGAAGAGCTTGCTTGATAAGAAGAAAAAATGCTTCTCTGCAAAGCTACCTCTGTTTCGTAATTAGTGGTGATTCTTGGTCTAACCATCAACAGCGACACGGAGATAGCAAGCAAGCACGGAAATCATGAAGCTTTACCACCTGTACTGACTTGTGATACTGTGGACCCCCTCTTCCCGAACTGCACCAGTGCGTAAACTATGATCAAGTACACGCCCTTAAAGGCCACCGGGAAACCGTTGGACTGATCAACGTATACATGAGTGTGTCTGCGTGTCATGGCGAGCCAAAACCAAAAACGACACAGCCTATGCTCGCTACACGCAGAGCTTGATGAGCTTTGCTTAGAGACCCCCCCCTCCCCGGAATCCTCGGGCCTTCGCTATTGGAAGAAAAAACCATGGCACCCGGTAAAACATTTATGACGACTACATTGCTACAATTGCAGGGTCCACGCCTCTTCCCATGTTACCCAGGTCTACGACCAGCGCGTTTCCCGTAATCCTACTAACCACGTCTCGTTGCTTCCCACCTTCTCAAACTTCCAGCTCCCTCACCGTGTGACTAAACACCACACCTTGAAGCGTTGATGCAACCCTCCCAACTGTGTTCGGACATGACTACCCAAAACAGACAGCTGTGACCTTGTCGGCCGTAGACCTCGGATTCAACGGTTTTAAGCCCAGCCGTGTGCATCGGGTAAGATAATAATAGGCCACGTTAATAAGTCGGTGACACAACATGTTTTGCACCGAAACGCGTGCAGGCAACTGCACCTCTTGCGGCCACTGGAAATGGTGCATCATTTCTTGCTTTCTTTCAAGTGTTTTTATTAAGAACGAGGCACAACTTGTGGGAATCTGTGATGTTACTGTGGGTGCTGGTGAAATATAAAAGAAGGATAAACTGACGTTGTTTTTGGATGTTTTGATTTTGGGGCATCCACAGATTTAAAAGATCGCCATCTTCAAGAAGCTTTACACGGTTCAAGGAAGAGACACGGCAATTGACTTCGACATACTTGATGAGTAGCCATAGAAGTGATTCAACCGCACAGCTCAGCAATCCGCAGTACCTTATTCAGCAATACTACACACCGACCACCACAACTACAGCAATAATGGCAGGGACAACTCACATGAAGCACCAGCACTCTGTTGCTAAGCCAGAGGTTGATGGTAGCGAGATGCACCTGGTTCGCAGACGGATATCCAAAGCGTGTAACTACTGTCGACAGAGAAAAATAAAGTGCGACGGTTCCTCGCCATGTACAAACTGCCACAGCCACCAAATCGACTGTGTCTATACAAAGACAATTACCAAGAAGAAGAGAGCACAGCCTGCTAAGAAGCTTACGCTTCACGACCTGGAGAAAAGGGTTAACAAGATGCAATGTCAAATGGACACGATGAACTCTACGTTGAGTGCTATCTTGAAAGTGCTGAACGATCGTAAACTATCCGATATGAATGCAGCGCATGCTGTACCACATGAGCAGTTACAACAACATCAGCAGCAACAACTTCATCATCAACAATATGCTTCATCCTCACAACCCATGGGCTTTGAAATGGAAGATTTCTCCACGAGTGGGGAAGATGAAGAGGTAATATACTCTCCTTTGTCAGACCAAACCAGCAGCTTAAACTGTGAAGATCAAGTGCTTTCACCAGCAGGGGAACCTTTCCACAATACCACTAACGCTGGTTTTACCACATTTGCACAATCAGGTTTACAACACGTCCCATCAAACCCATTTGGGACAAACCAATACAGTGGCGCATTTGAACCATTGGATATGTCCATTGTTGCTAAAATGGGTTTGAATTTCGACAATCTTGCACAGAAACAAGATGAACAACTCAATATGCTTATCTGATATCAAGAGGGTTAGGAATAACTTCCAGGATGAGCGTACACATGTTTTACGAATGCATGTTCGGCGTTAACAACTCATGACTAATGACGTATCATGAAATGATTATTAATATGGTATACAGGAACGTTTGATTATAAATTGGATTTTTTAGATTTTTTTTTGCATTTATCATTTTATTATTATAAATCAACAGCGAAGCCCCCCCCCCTCAAAATAAAAACAGCATATTAGAGGAGGATGTGATCAATTATTACAGTTGAATTGGGTGATTTAGAGATATCATACCTTTGTTATCTGCTGACAGTTATAGTCTCTTTCAAGAAACATGAATAGATGAACCATCGCCTGTTATCACTACACGTTTCATAAATATACATTTAATGACCTTGTAATAACATTCGTTTGAAGTTTAACTCTGATATCAGTGTGATGAGCGCTGTTGTGTCACGACATGATCCATCGGATTAATGTTGGAGCTCTACTATTAATAATTTTATTAATCGTGCTGAGATCGTATTTTCTGAAGTTGATGAAGCAAAATGTGCATTGCATATGATCGTTTCGTGACTACCGGGCGCAATCGGACAACTTGGTTTAACTATCTTCTTCGTATACCGCAGACCACTAGGTATGCAGTGAAATATGATAACCAGGCTATGCAATTGCATCTGGCACCTTGACTAGCATTTGAACGTCTTAGTCCATGCTTCAACAGATCCCTGGTCGACACTGGCTGCTGACTTATGTACATGACTGAAGTACATAACATAAGTTTTTACTGCACAGGAAATGGAAATAAACCGATCGAATTTCGAAAGATATGATACTTATAATTTAGACAGCACACGTCTGTGCAAAGCCGTTGCGAAAGGTTCTCCTCAAGGACTCTAACGTGTTTTAATCAATATTAGTGAAATCAGATTGACTGGAAAACCATGCTGGGCTTTAGATTCTATCAGGGGCTATTTCTTAAGGTTATGTCAGAATTTTACTGACCATAGTTCTTCCCATGATCCACATACGTTTCCTATCAAAGTCTTAGAGGACATTATCTTGGTTCGAGTTGTTAACTCTGAATTGAACATGATTACAAGGCTGGCAAAGTGTCAAGAAATGGTATATGTATGCGCATGTTCTATGTAGCATCGTATTTTTTACAAGGTGTGCCAGCCTGACGTCTAACTTCTGTTTTTACAATCTTATGAGCTTACAGGGAGAGAGTCCCTTCAATGTAGTAGATAGACTGTGATCAGAACTGGATATGATCAACGTTGTAACTTCTATAAGTAGAAAATCGTGACGCATTCAGGATAAACGTTCGACTCAGCAAAAGTTCCCAAGGTAAAATATACGAACTTTATAGTTCGATCAACATCGGTTGTTGCATAGAGAAAGGATGCTGGACCAAATTTTAACGACCCTCGCTGCTGAAAACCAATGTGCTCCGTCTGATAGTTCCCATCATCACATCACCAAACCTTTTCTATCCACGGAAGAAATAGAAAGAAGTCATAAATAGCCTCACATTTCGAGAACGCAGTTCAGCCTTTCTTTGAAGAGTTTTATAGAATTCTAGAAAACGCAGAACACCACGGTATTACAAAGTCTATCGAATCATTTAAATGTCTGGAACAGAACAATGCTTAATTCTAACAGTGGTATGGCGCAATATGCGCAAGTTGTTGGACTTACTTTAACATGAATTTTACCCAGATATTCTGCCAACTTCTAACACCTGATACAGCCTAAAGAAGCAAGCCTCATTTGTATGCTGGTATCTTGTTTGCGTGCATCACAGGCGAATGTAATTATAGGATAATGCCAATGGCCTCATACATATGCTGAGTTGTACAAGCTCGATCAGCATATAACTTTGAACAATTTCAAACATTCAAACAAGGTATGGTTTTGTCCTGAAACGAGAGCTTTCTGGAAGAGGTCAACCTGTAATACCAACAAATGGCTGAGCTATCACTAAAACGTGGCGAGTTGGCTCTTGCCTATTGGTATTTGTATCATACCTCGTGATCTCTCCTCCAGTTCACTGTATCCAACCTATTGTCAAGATTTGATTAGCTGGTACATTTTCCGTGCCATTAAGGTCTAATAGTGAAATCTCGTGATGAGACCCAGCTAACGGTGATCGTTACGTGGACACAGATGTGAGATAAGGTCACCACTGACACTATAATCCCGGTCGTTCCATCAATCGTATGCATCTGAACACTCGGTGTGGAGTGTGTAACTTGTTTAAAACGTTTATTAAAGAACACGCGGAAATCGCCGATACTGCAAATGATACAACGAAGGGACGGACATACAATTGATTTAGTCACCAAAACAGGATACATCCCAGATCTAATACAATATCGCCAATCTCTATAGTACGCACATTCGTTCTATCCACCATTCAGCCATTTCTCTCGTCGCTCTCACCCACCTCTCTGCTTGATGGAATAACAAGATGTCCATGTCTGCTGGTTTGTACAGTACTACATGCTTGACAGCCAAGCGCTGCCAATAGCCCCTTTATCAACCAAATATAGGATAAACCGAGCTACATTATCGTATAAGCAAAACATATATACAAGCAAGACAGTGGTTATATCCTACTTCTGTTATAATACCAAAGATTTATTGAATCCTAAGAAAGAAACCAACATTGAAATCTGTCCGTTAGTGCAATCCCGCATCATTGATGATTCTTATGTGGCGCCTACCACTATATCTGATCGAAATTTATTTCCGAGGGCTGGTGGCGGTTGATCCGGTGGGCTCATCGCAAACTTTGCGTAGTTAACCTTTATATGGAGACGTTTAGCAGTCGATAGCTTTGGCGGTAGTGACAAAAGAGCATGGATTTGATAGGCGATATCGTTGAAAAAGAAGTTGATGATGCTATAGCACCAAGCTTTCCTGAGTCATCGGGGTCTTTTACTGGGTTTCCCAAACCTGTGGTGAAGAGCACATGGAAACAGAGACAAGCGAAGAAGAAGAACAACAACAACAACAATGTTGAACGCGACGGTGAGACCATGTACGAAAAGCAGGAACCTCGTGGCCTTAAAAGACTTCCCAAGGAGAAACAGAAGCTCAATTATGATAACTTATCCGAAGCTGAGAAGATCCATCTAGAGAACATCGAGATTCTTAGTAATATGACTGAAGCTGAGAGAATCCGCGAGAAGGAGGAGCTCTTGGGCTCGATGGACCCAAGGATACTGCAAAAGCTGTTGCTGAGAAGCGAGGAGAAGTTGTCAAAGAAGAAGTCTGTGAATCCTGTTCCAGAGTTCAAAGGGTATGGCGATTGGATCGGTGGTGATAAGAACGGTGAAGAGTGGAAGGATCAAACATTGGATGAGGAAGCTGTTGACATGGCTTTGGGCATCAAATCTTCTCTGAAGATAGAAGATAAAGATCAGACTCCAAAACCCACAAAATCAGTGTCATTTGATCCTGTGAGTACCGTGAAGTACCCCGATGACGGTGCTCCTGATCCCGAATGGGAAGACGTTGAAGATCTCGACGACATTGCGCCGGAATCTTACCAGCTAGTAAAGGAAGCGGATGAGGTTTCTAAAGAGGAGGCCATTTCCAACGTACACTTCCTCAAGCCCGAGGTTGTTGACGAGGACGACATCTACATCGATATCAACGACCCTGACTTCAACGAGAAACTACACGAGAAGTATTTTCCGGATCTACCTAGAGATACTGAGAAGCTGAAGTGGATGACACCAATTCCTGATGTTGCAATAGATGATATGGTGTTTGACAATGTTTCCGACCTGAGGTTTGATTTCAAGGGCGATTTGGTCGTGCCTAACGCTGAACAGTCCGTTGACACCTCCACTGGACTACACCACCATACCGATAACGTCTCCTTAGCCGGATACACACTGCGTGAACTCGCACACCTGAGCCGTTCAAGCATGAGCTCCCAACGGTGCATTGCAATCAGAACGCTGGGGAGAATCTTGCTGAAATTGGGCAAGGGCAAGTACAACATCGTGCCGGAGTTTGTATACGAGGACGAGGACGGAGAGGAACACCAGGAGAAGCCAGATGCGGATGCCATGAAGAGAGCAAACACTGAATTCGATCAAACCTTCTGGGGCCTCATTGATGAACTACGAGTCATAGAAACCTTGGAGGAAGCTGCTGATGAACAAGCTACAAAGAACCTCAGTGTAAGAAACTATGCCATTGAGGCACTCTGGCTATGGAAACAGGGAGGTGGTAACACCAGACACGCCAATTGAATCCCCAATATATAGAAATGTATATATAAATTCTCCATCATCTGTAGAGTGATCGTCTTGGTGGCGGTGGTGGCCTTCCATTTGGTGGCGGTGGTTCATCTGCTTGCCCGTGGCGGAAATGGCAGAGAGTGGCGACAACCACAAAAAGAACATCAACAAAGAACATCAACAAAGAATATCAACAAAGAACAACAACAACAACAACAATAACAACAACAAGCAGAGCAGCCATATAGACAGAGTCACAATGGAGGCGATTGCTGCGAAATACGAACCTCAATCGAACATTCTCAAGAACTTAGGCTACGGTGATGATGGTGATGATGGCTTGAAACAGGACTTCATCTCTGGTGTCGACCTCTCAATAGCTCCTAGCATTGCAATGCCGCCAATTGCACATCCAACTGAGTTTCTAAGAGCACACACGGATGACTCACAGAACCCGGACTGTAAGATCAAGATTGCGCATGGTACCACGACGTTGGCGTTTAGATTCCAAGGAGGCATTGTTGTTGCTGTTGATTCCAGAGCCACGGCGGGCAATTGGATTGCATCGCAGACGGTCAAGAAGGTGATTGAGATTAACCCGTTCTTGCTGGGAACCATGGCTGGTGGTGCAGCTGACTGTCAGTTCTGGGAGACCTGGTTGGGATCGCAGTGTAGACTACACGAGTTGAGAGAGAAGCAGAGGATCTCTGTGGCTGCGGCCTCAAAGATATTGAGCAATTTAGTTTACCAGTACAAGGGGATGGGGTTGTCCATGGGTACTATGATCTGTGGTTATACGAAAAAGGAAGGTCCAACTATCTATTACGTTGATTCTGATGGTACAAGATTGAAAGGTGATGTGTTTTGCGTTGGTTCCGGTCAAACGTTTGCGTACGGTGTGTTAGACTCGAACTTGAGATGGGATCTGACTGTGGAGGAGGCTCTGTACTTGGGAAAACGTTCCATCTTGGCTGCTGCACACAGAGATGCATACTCCGGTGGTTCTATCAACTTGTATCACATCACAGAGGATGGTTGGGTATATCACGGTAACCATGACGTTGGTCCAACGTTCTACGAAATCAAGGAGAAGGAAGGTTCATTCAACAACGTTGTCGGTTAAGAGTGGATATATATAAGCACAACACACAAGAATGAAGCAATAAATGTCAATGGAAGAAAAGAAAAGAACAAAAAGGTATGAGGGACGACGTTGCTGATGAACCGTGTATCGCTGTAATTGTTTATCTCCATGCTGGTTTCTGGTGTTGTTTCGTGTTCATCGTTGATGCTGTACGCGTCATTGAAGACAAATTATTCATCGAAGGGGTGGATCGAAGCGACCTGGCTACGTCTCTTGTAGATGTTGATTTCTGTAAACTTGATGCCGTCGGCCTGTTCAAGTTGTACATGGTTGTCGACTTTGAAATCCTTGGACTAGGCACCTTAGATAACCCCTTGGATATCGATCTCGATTGTTGCAACGATGTTGGGTGTTGTTTCTTCAGATTCATTGATGACGTTGATTGTCTTAGTGTGGATTGTGGAGGCGCCTTCAAGGGGATTCGTGTTGTCGTTACCCTTTCTACAAGCTCGTGGTTTTGAGTAGGCCTATCAAGAACCTGTTGGAAGTTCATCATTCTCTTTGACGATGACAACTGTGGTACCACATCCTGACGTCCAACCTCTAATCTTCTTCTCTTGGAAACACTCTCTAAAGTCGAAGAACCTGTCCTCTTTGAGAATGGATCATAGCTTGGAACGTTCTCCTTCTCCAGCTCAATCTCCTCTCTCGTCCTCATCGTGGAGTAGTGAGATGATATCGATTCCAGCTTGTTGAACTTCTGCCTATGCAGTGAGGTAAACCTCGAGTTTCGTGGGCTCAAAGTAGAGCCACCATTCCCCTTGCCAATATGGCTTCTTCTTGGGTGCATTGTCGCAGCCCTCTGGTCTAATTCTTGTAGGACATTATTGCTCAGCTTCTTACTATAACCAAGCTGGGAGCACTGTTCTTGCAATGATGACGAAACCTGGGGCATCAATTGGTCGAGGTCAGGGTATAGTGGGTGTCTCAGAGACTGTGCCGTCTGCGATTGGAATGTAAACTGCTCTTGTGAAGGCACCTTGTAGTCATACGTTTGTGTCCATTCTTGAGGGAACCCGCCTGGTATGTCCCCCATCTTCTTCTCTGAGCGAGGAGCAGGATGTCGTAATGATCAATGCTTCGACAAATGGAAACGGAGTATCGTTTCCAATAACGAAAGAACCAGAATGAGAGAGAGAGAGAGAGAGAAAAGTATTGGACAAGCAAAAAAAATTATGCCTGTTGCGATATGCCGTTAGACGCAAAAATCCGTATTAGGTTAAATGTAAACAAAAACATCATCAACTAAGCACAGACACAATGGAGAGCTCATACAATTGAACTCGGCTCACATAGAGAAAAGGCTGTAGCTTTGTGAGGCATATGGAGGGGCATCGTGTTGTGCTGTGAATGTCTCAGCGAAATGGCCTCCAATTGTGCTTTCATCAACATCATCAGCAGTTGAGTAGGAGTAACGGTTGCGTCCTGATGATATGGATGATCGGACAATTTGTATAGATACACCATCTTTACAATTTCATATAACCGTAAGCAACTGACTAGCCAGAGAGACAACCAAGAGTAAACAGTGAGCACTGATGACACCGCATTATTGATTAGAGGACGACTACGTATGTAACCGGTCTTACAATTAAATGAGTAAAAGGAAGGAAGAAATAGAGAGGAGGAAGAAGACCACATTTGGAGAAAAGACAAGAGATGGAGATATGGAAGAAATAAGGGAAGTAGGAAAAAGAGAAAGAGTGAAAAGAGAAATAGTACAATGGTTCAGAGGGTTCATTCTTGTTCTTGGGAAAGCTTTGCACGACGTTCTTGTTCCCTCTCCATATTTAGCTTCAGAAAACTCATAGCCTTATCTATTGCCCTTGTGGAACCTGTCAAGACAAACTGGCGGAATCCGTCCTCATCATCTTCAGGTGCAATGATGATCTGTGCTCCACTAACTCTGCGGATCTCTTGGATTCTGCTACCAGCTTTACCAATCAGGCATCCAACGTAATCCCTTGGGAACCTCGCAGTTTTCGAATATTCGTTATCAAACGATACATCTGAAGAGTCTCCACCATGTTGATGAACATAACGCCTTCCAGGATGTGGTCTTGGACTTGGTGTATAGAAGGAAGTTCCTGTGACACTGTGCCAATCCTCCATCAGACAACGTGCCAGTATTCTGCTTGCATCTTCAATAGCAGCTGGTGATCCTTGTAACTCCACCAGTCTCTCTGTCGAGTTATGTAAGAAGTCCTTAGAGGCAACGATCTTAACGTTAAACCGCTGCTGAATCTCTTTGATACGAACTCCTTGTTTCCCAATAATGGTGCCCATCTGTGCATTTGGAACCAACAGCCTCAACGTTGTGGTGCCTTCTGGCCCTGGGGGAAGCAGTCTCTTGAGTGGAAAGAATTGCAAGGCACTTTCATCCAACGGGTTCTCCAACAGGGCTTGTGCGATGAGTCCCAGGGCTTCAGCAGTATCGTCCAAAGCACCAGTAACAGTCAAGATTCTATCAGGGGTGCCTTGTATAACAGGTGATACACCAGCCTTCACGTTTGTTCTCTCCCGGATATCGGCAATTATAGAGCCATTCTTACCAATGATCACACCAGCTTCTTTAACTGTGACGAGAATACGCACTCCAATGATAGCAGAGGTTGGCTCCGTTGAAGGTAGAATCTCACCGGCAGCTGCATTCTCACCACCTGAGGCGAATTCGCCCTCAAACGTCGTATCTGAGGTGTCCTGCTGCGACATCTTCTCCAGTGCTATATGATCGTAGGCCTGTGTAGGGTCTTGTATGGTTGGTGTGGATGTGTGGATGTGTATGTGTGCGGATGTGTGGATGTGATGAGATGGGATGATATTTGCAGCGATAACTGAAAACGAACGTTATACTGAAATAAAACTAGACAAACACTTCAATCAATCACAATGAAACAGAGGGAAACCAGTTAACAAAACAGCTCCAAACTTGCTTAATTCAATTGAAATACACCGCGTCCTTCGTTGGCTCCGTGGCTCTGAGTTCAGTTCGTTACTGTGGAAATGCCTCTTTTGAGAATTGCAACTTTTGCGCTTTTCCAATTGAAATTTTATTACAGCAAGGGGAAATTTTTTTTGGCTTTTTTTTCCTTTTTGGGAAACTCTTTGGGCAGATTGTGTTACCCTGTCTGATTACATAAGCTGACACATTTAGCACCCGGACACCAAGCATTATCTAGCGTCTTTCCGTCAGGTTTCGGTATGGGCAGCACAAAGCGAGCAAAGCGCCATCTCCGCCAGTGTTTGGTGTTGATGTTGATGTTGATGTTGATGTTGATGTTTGGTGTTTGATGTTTGATGTCCAGTGTCCAGTGTCAAATGTCCAATGTCCAGCGTTCAATATTCTACGCGTCTTAGTTCACCTCGTTAAACGGCGTTTTCCATCTCCTAAAAGGGCTGGAGCCTGCATCGACAAATGCTCGTTGCTCTTTAATGGTCATCATCTTAACGTGCCTCTCTCCGGTTGTGAGATACTTCTCCAGCGTCTCTTCGGCCTCATGTTGCAGGTTTGCGTCGATTCTCGTCAGATCTCCATCACCATCGAGCAGGATATCTATAGCAACGTGGACCCTTTTCTCCCATAGATGGCACCCTTCGTTCGAGTCCCACGTCGTCAACAAGGGCTGTGCAGCGAACCTGCATGGCTTAAAGTCTACGTAGTGCAATTCCCAGTGCTCCTTCAACAGTGGACCGGTCTCTTCGAGCTCAAGTGTTATTCGATCACCTTGATCCTCCTCAATGATGAACCTACCAGCGTTGTACACGCACATCGTGCCCATCGGTATCATCTCTGTGATGTTGAGCGGCATGTAGTTGGATAGACGGTTCTCAACCTCCAGTTTCATCGTCGCCAGCCCTCTTGTGTCCCTGTAGGGGGTGAACGCAAGCTGTAAGTTGTACTCACCTTTCGGCAGCGATACGCCTCTTTTGAACAGGAAAGCCCATGCCTTGTCAAACCTGAGCACCCCGTAGTCCTGGAACGATAGCTCCTCGTCCGACTGGATGGAGACACCATTGGAGCCACCTCTGCCGTGGTTGTTATACGTGAAGAACACCTTTCTGTTGCACAGGAACTGTAGCAGAACGCTCCACAGGGGCTCTGGCGACACGAGATCGTGTAGCACACCGTTCAAACACCTCGACTCGTCGATGTAGCGGCTCAGAAAGGGCCACAGCTTGAGAAACCTCCCTTCACCACCACCATCACCACCACCATCACCATCACCACCACCACAACCGCCAGAGAGTATCCGCAGGCATTTCTGCCTCACAACAGACGAGTTGTACAGCCGGAACCAGTACCTGCTGGCGCTCGCCAGCCCTGGCGCCTTCGACAGTATCTCAATCTGAATCTCAACAGGCAACAGCTCCATCACAACCAATCCCTCGTCGCCTATTCGCCTACCCGCTGTCCTGTGCAATTGTGCAATTGTTCCTTGACCTTCTGGAACAAAAACACACGTACAGGCCCATCGGAAATAGGGCCGGAGCACATGGTGCTTTATAACCCGGGTTTACCCTCACAATACCTTCTCCCAACAACAGAGAACACCTTGACATCGTAGCAAACAAGGCAAAAGATCATTCATAACGCAACACACAACAATGTCAACCCCACCAGAAGGTGAGTTATCGGTATTTGAGGTGTAATTGGTGAGAGCGTACTAACAGCAACGTGCACAGTGCTTTGGGCGCAGAGATCGTCCGCCACGGAGTCGGCAAAGAACGTTCTCTACTTGACGGTGAAGATTGCAGACACCAAGAACCTGAGGGTGGATCTCCAGGCGGAGCACCTCCACCTGGAGTCGGACTCTGAGGACTACGACAACCACTATGTGTTGGACATTGACTTCTACAAGGCTGTGAAGCCTGAGGAGTCCCGCCATTGGCAGAACGGCAACAGCGTGTACTTTGTGATCCAGAAGCTCAACGCTGAGAAGGAGTACTGGCCACGTTTGACCAAGTTGAAGGTGAAGTACTTCTACATCCACACGGACTTTGACAAGTGGGTCGATGAGGACGAGCAGGATGAGGAGGAAGGCGGGGCGCTCGGCGACCTGCCTGCGATGGATGAGGGCAACGTCTGGGAATCGATGCTACAGGATAACCCAGAGTTGGCCAAACTGGCCAATTCTGCGAATGGGCAGTTTGACTTCTCCAAGTTGCCGGTAGACGCTAACCAGGAGGAGCTGACTTCGCAGGCTACAGAGGAGGACTTCAGTTCTTCCGATGAGGAAGAAGGCGAAGGCCACGATGGCGCTGGAAAGAAGTAGCGTCTCTCTGTATTCTCGTCCTATCTTCTCGTCCTATCTTCTCTCGTATATACTGGAAACAAATCTCAAATGGCTTGGTATTTTAACTCATCTTTGTAGAGTACTTGGGCTCCAATCCATTTCTCTCCAGGTGCTAGCTTCTTGAACTCGTGGACATAACCCGGTTCGATACAAACCATATTCTTGTACCCGCTCTTTGGTTGGAAATCAGCCATTCCATTGGATTTGTTGACCCATGGGTTCCACACAACAACGTCCGGCAGCCCAATACGCTTCACAGTGTGGATAGGGTTGCCAAGTGATACAACTTGAATCAATTTGCTCTCTGGAACTTGTTGATAAATTCTGTCAACTTCCTCGTGGAATGTCACCACTGGCAATCTCTCCTCGTAGCTTTGCTTCAAGAGTTGATCGTAACAGATCTCTCCAGGTAAGTTGGAAACCATGCTGTCCTCGATGTCATCAATCTTGAGATAAGTATGGAATAGCCAGTTGAACTCCCACTCGTGAGAATCGACATTCTCAACTTCGATCTTAGTCTCGAGTGATTCTGTATCCAATGCAATGGTGTAAATCAGCGTGAAATCGTTGGAATTCTCCCATTTGGAATACAATTCAGGATCAACCTGTTCAGGACTTAGAGCAAATTGTACACTCAGGGGAGACTCACGAACCTGGCCCAAAAACTCCCACGTGGAGTTTCTTGCAAACCCGTGCTGTGGTAGTTGGGCAGTTGGACCTGTCTCCTTCTTACCGAACACTGGGAAGACCAAAGGTATTCCACCACGAACAGCTTTTGAACCGTCAAGCAAAGCACCTGTGGAGAGCCAAAGTTGCTCCTCACCTTTAATGGTCCACGAGATCACTGTTGCACCAAATTTGAGAATGGTCACTTGGGTCTTTGGATCCGATGGATGTGTCACAACAACACGGTCTTCTAAGTCTTCAATTGGCATCTTATCAGCTTGGTCTATACACTGGAGAGAATGGAGATAGCAAGGAAGGAAGAAACATCAACTGTGTGTATAGACGTTGGGTGAAGTGAGAGATGGCCCACCGACACCCGTCAAACCGCGGTGTTCGGGTGCTTACGTAAGCACTGACTAATAACCCTCGGGAGTACTCACCACGCCCTCGGAAATAGGGCGTTTGAGTTTGTCTGTGGTTTTTTTTTCCGTGCTGGCCCTCCCTAAATTCAACGCCGGCGAATCCACAAATTTTCCTTTCTTAAGGGGTACACAACATACTGCAACAACAAGTTCACCCTGTGTTTATCAAAAGAACTACACGGAAGGAGATCTCACGAGTGAATAACCTGCTTCAAAGATGTCAGTTGTTCCATTCTCTCCACAGAACAGACACGTTGTGATGACGCTTTATCGCCGCAGCTTGATCCTCGCAAGAGATTGGATAAACAAGCGTGATCACTATAGACAGAAAGCAATGGAGATTCGTTCCCAATTCGAACTGTACAAGGACGTTGGTAATCCAAAGGAGGTTGAGGAGCTCATCAACAAGACAAAGTTCATGTTGGACAAGTATAAACATCCAGATCCATATATCCCACCAACGAGACCAGGTGGTACCAAGTTCGAGAGATACATTGCACCATCCTTGGAGGAGCCATTACCATACCGTTATTGAAAAAAGCAAGTACTCGTAAGACAAGGAACCCACACAGGGGGATGTTATAGAGACGCCCTCTGGTATATATCACTACTATTTATTATTTATTCTTTAACTTTTATATTTATTTATTCTGCCCCCAGCTATGAGCTCATGTAAATGCTGGTTGGTCCTTTTAACCAACGTTATAAATGTCGAGAACCATCGAATGTAGTTGGTCGAGCACATAGTTCAACCCAGAATCATCACAAACAATGCCATCGCTGAGCGGAACGAGGTATTTTATCGTGGATGCCCGGTTCTTGAACAAGTTCCCTTGTGACGTCAATTCACGTTTCAAATTGGCATCAAGGTCTTCTTTGTCGATGGAAATTAGGTATACAAATGAGTCCAATGCCCCATTCTTGATCTCAATATTCATGCTGAATCCGTGTCTTGGTTTGAACTTGTTGGAATAGTAGAGTACAGAGAAGTACGTTGCATTTTTGGAAATGATCTCGTACCTCAACTTATCAACGTTCCATGAGGAAACGTTATCAACTTGTGCCTGATTTGACATGTCATTCAACTTTGAGATCAAAACATTGGACTTCATCAAATACTTGAAGACATCATCAACTCCATTGGTCACTAAGAATCTCCTTATGCTTGAGAGACAAATGTTATGTGGGTTCTCCTTGGGTAGTTCTAAATCAAAGTTCTCCTTTAAGGTGCAAACATTATCGCCGTATTTGAAAACAACTTGGTCGAGTTGAACGCTAACCAATTCCATATCCCTTTTCTGTAAATAATCAACGAGTTCAATAACCTTAGCCAGCTTGGTCAATTTAGACATAATATTCGTCAATATATTTGCCCTCTTGAAGTCGATGGTTTCAAATATTTGGAAGACTCCGTTCGAATCCACTATAAAATCATCAAGTGTTATTATCTTGTTCAACTTCCCTTTCAAGTTGACAACAATGTTGTTCTTGTTAGTTGGGTCAATTCTAAACATGAGCATAACAACCTTTGATGCATTGGGTATCTTCACAAATGACTCTGTCTCAACCACTATCGAGTCATGAGAAACAACATGATAATTGGTACCTGTGAGTTCTTGGGATATTAGATGAGTCATGATCTTCTTGGATACCTGGTTAATCACATCTTTGGAGCTCTTGTAGTCGAAGGAATTGATACACACTTCCGAAGGTGCATTCAAAGTCCACTGACCCAGCACTGACCGGATATTACCTATAAACGTTCTGATCTTTGTATCAATGACAAATATTAGGAACCAATTTTGAGCCCACTCCTTTCTCGTATAGAATCTAACAAGTCTATGTGGTTCTTGTCTTACACCATTGTATAATTTCGACAATTCCACTTGTGGAAGTTTGATCAAATCGTTAGGTATCCAACCAGTTACTGACAAGACGCTCGAGATTTCAGTAAACTTCAAATCGGTACGTATGGCCTGGAGATTTTCGTTGATGTTCTTAAAGTCATCAACATTAAGCTTTTTCAACGCCATATTTAAAGCTGGCGTTGGGTTTTTGAAATAGAAGATTCCGGTGAGTTCATTAATCTGTAATAACGATTTGTTCACCATCAAATCTTCAATCTGTGAGAGGATCGACGTGGAATGTTTATGGTAAATGTCCCTCAAGAACATGTCAATATGATCCACCTGTTCAAAAGTCTGAGCCAACTGGCCTTGTTTGAACCATCTATAAATGATTTCATTATTTTTGTTCAGCCCAATTTCCAATCTTGAGTATTTAAAGACAAAACTGTTCACCCAATAATGAACCGTTATTTGAAACTTTTCAGGGCTATATGTATGTTTTACCGTTTTCAATTCGTTCAACTTTTGGTGTATGAGGTATAGCTTCATGGCCATCGTGTAATTTGTCAATATTCTCTTCAAGTTTACAAATTGGAAACTCCGTAGTGCCTCGTTACACACCCTAATGAGGTTCTTCGCCTTTTCGAATTTGCCAAAAGAGAGCTCGAAATCAATCATAAAGAATGGAGTTGATTCATCCAAAGCGGAGATTTGAAATTGGTAATCCTTTGTATAGACATATATTCTTCCATCTTTGATATCATAATCAGTAAATTCCTCTGGCAAATCATCCACCAAGGCATACTTCATGGAGAGGACAACGTTCAAATCCCTCAAGGTCTGTAGCACCTTCTGTGGAGATATCCTGGTCTCTATAAAGTTGTGCGTCGGTAGCGTTGGTCTCCCGTTGGATAAAACCTCCATTGCAGTGATCAAATCTGGGTTGGGCAACTTCGCACTGAGTAAACTCTGGTTCAAGCTCTTCGTGCTCCATATCAGGTTACCAAAATGAGACGACTGTTCCCTCAACCAAGCCAAAAGGTCTATGAATTTGTTGAAATCGTGTGCTGAAGCATGCGACCAGTTCGTCAGCACGTACAACCTGGTGAACTGTGTACGTAAATAAACCAGCAAATCCAATAGCTTCTTCTTCTTGTCATCATCATTGGGCTGCATCTTCAACACGTGTGAAAGTTCGGCATAGGCGAATTGAGCGAACTTGTCCAATATCGACGACAAGGGAACAATGTTCGTCGTGATATGCTGAAGCTCTGGCGGCTCCGAGTGCTTCGTCTGTACATCCATATCCTCTCTTGTTGGCATTGAACAACCCAGTTAGAAGACCCACTAAAACAACGACAACAATGACAACAACGACAAGAACAGCGAGAGGAAGACGACCAATGATCTTCAAACAGGCTTCCTTCTTACTGTGATTGAAAGAAAGCGAAAGAAGAGCAAACGGGGGGGGTTCTTCTACTGAAAGCAGAAATCAATCAGCAGAGACTGTTTGCCAATTACGAGAACTAAACAAACCACAAAAGCGAAAAGAAGAAGAAAGAAAAAACCATAAACATATCAATAGTTCGCGAAACCTTCCTATTCAGGTTGACTTCCGAATTGGGTAATTGTATGGGTGTTTAATTTTTTTTCAGATACTGATAAACCAACTGCCCGGAAATGGGGAAACTCTTATGGGGGGAAGGCTGGAGCCATTGTTATTAGAAATACTCAATTGAGAGATCACACCTATTGAGGAAGGCATCTTTAGAAAGAAGATACAAGCTGTGTGAGGTGTGTGTGTGTTTTTGTTCCCCAGCGCTGGCTCTTCGTGCACAATCTTTGTATTAGTTTGAGCTATTCATTACGCTCGGTATACAGGGATATTGAAAGAGTGGGACATAAAAGGGAAAAAAAACAGACAATTAGAAGGGTAAACAGTTGTGTTTGTTGATTCCAGGCTCCATCTTGCCGGTTTCGCTGCTGGAGAGCCGTGTGTAAAGATTAACATATTGAGGAGATCAATTGACACTTGCCAACGACAAGAAGGGCCAGTATGAGTAACTGTGTGGACGGGTCATCCCGTTCAGAGACTCACGCGAAGATCGATCATAATAGACAGTTAGAAATCACTGAAAAGACACAGCTTGACCCAGGTAGGCTTGACCAAGACGATACATTGGGAAAGATCCAACAGCTTTCACTAGACACCACTGTCGGGGCCAGTGGTGCTGGCTCACCAGTGTATGAAGGTGTATCGATGTTGCCAACACCAGTTATGTCCAATAGACCACAGAGCTGCACAACGTCTCCTCTGGCACCGTCACCAACATTGCATCAGATGGCGGTGTCGAAGAAGAAACCCTATGGTTCTCTCACAGTGAGACCCGGAGTGGCTTCTGAAACGGCACAGACGAGAGTCCTGTCAGAGTTCATTCCTGCAAATAGCAACGTTGATAGCTTCTCAAGTGTACCACGGTCATCGCTGGACCCGAGGTATAATACGGGCTATGACTCCTCACAAAAGAGAAACGTATCAACGCCTCTGGTCAATGACGATGGACATGTCAGTGCTATTCCTGAGTTATCAAGAGAGGTAACAAGAAGATCCAGCATTAGCTCAAGTGGCAGTGCCGGTGTACCTGGAGTGTATACATGTTTTGACAGCCAAGGGCTACAACATTCGTGGGAACAGGTTGGTACGTTAGGAAAGGGTACGTTCAGTACCGTTTTCCTGGGCAAAGCATGTTTTGACGACGAAGACCCAGCTTTGATGACTGTCGCCATAAAGGTAATCAAATCACCTCATAACAGAGATTCAAAGAAGAGACTGGAAAGTGCACTGAAAAGGGAACTGGAGATATTGTCAGTGTTAAGGCACCCTTGTACGCCACGCCTGCTGGCAACTGATTTCAACCCAGACAGGTTTTGTATCGTGCTACCGTACTGTGAAGGCGGCGACTTGTTCGACTTGGCTGTTACGCACAGGAAACAGCTCTCACCTCTGTTGATACGCCGCATTTTTGCAGAAGTGGCAATTGCAGTGGCGTATCTCCACAGTAAGAACATTGTTCATAGAGATATCAAACTAGAGAACGTGCTTGTGAATTTCCACCTGGACAAGTTACTGGCCATTGACGTGATGAGCTTTTCCCGCCCAATAGTCACACTAACTGATTTTGGATTATCGAGAACGATAGACCCAGAAGACCCCATGCTCGTTACACGCTGCGGCTCTGAGGACTACGTTCCTCCAGAGCTCCTCATTGGACTACCCTATGATGGAAGACAAACAGACTCTTGGGCTCTGGGCGTGCTGTTGTACGCGGTGATGGAGTCCCGCCTACCCTTTGACCCGTTACCAACTGTGAAGTCCATCAGGGCCAAATCCCGTGTTGCGCATAGAATAGCGAGAATCGAATGGGCGTGGTACCACTACGCGGATGATAGTGTTGACAAGTGGTCTCATAACGACTGGGATCGTGCTAAAGCTCTTGTGGGCAACCTGCTGGTTAGAAGAGAGCATAGATTCACTGCGCTTCAGGTCATCGATGATCCGTGGGTAAGCAACGTCTTACCAAACAACTTTGCATTGTATAATTACTGAAACAGAATAAATATTGATATCTAATACATACAGTGAAAGCCTACAAATGACTATAGCTTCTGGTAGTAAATTACATACAAATCCATGTTGATGTTATGCTTTGTTTACAAGTGTGCGACGTTTGTGTGTTTGTGTAATTTTTGTGTCAAACGGGTGTAGGATGCCCTCCAAGACGCCTTATAACACCGCACCGCACCGCAGTTCATTGAAGAGCACAGGCAATTATAGCAGTTGGGCAATTAAAGAAAGCATCAACAGATCTCTGAAGTGGTCAGTCTAACAGTGTGATGAGTGTATTGGGGTTCACGCTGCTTAACGTGTTGTGGGAACATGTGTCCATGTTGTGGTTGGTGATGTTGGAAGAGATCAACAGACTTCAAACGGCTGTTTCCAGTAAGGACCTATACCTTTTTTGCTCGCTTGTTTACGAAGGATGTGTGGACTAACATGAGCATTTGGACGAAGCTGTCAAGTACATTGAGCCGCCAGTGGCGGATGTTGAGATTGACATTCCACCGTTCACTGAGTACGAGTTGTTGTTTGATGATTCGTCAATATCAGACTTGTACGATGATGTGGATCCAATAAAACTTCTGGATTCACTCGTTGAAGATGGCACAATCGAGAAAGAAGACATACCTGATGAGATCGATGGCCTGGATTTGGATCTACTGACAGAGGTTTTACTCAGCCGCTTTGCTAAGCTCAAAGGATACTCAAAGACCCCTCATACGCTGATTAGTTATCTACCAGCTTCTGTCGTGCCTTCTTACGTGTGGGCAGTGATTATCATTGTCAGTGTTTCTATAGCTGGAATCGTCTACTTGAGGAGCAAATATGAGATTTGCTTGGATGACGAGTTTTGGGGTCATTTTACCATCGACAATACACCTGATGATATGGTGGATGACGGTGGCAGCGTCTCGTCAGACGTTTCAATTGCTACAGATGTTGACGATTCCGAGTCTCAAGATAAGGATGCAATGGATGAACTGATAAATCGGTCACAAGTTCTACAGTCTTCTCCCATTATGAATTATGAAGTATCTACGCCTTTATCTGTTTCTTTGGACCTGAGTGAGACTGGTTCGCCGGTGAAGTTTAGCACGTTATCAGAAGATATTTACTCATCCCCAGATGTCACCAGCGACTCTGTCCCATTCATATTGGATACCAATAGTGAAATTGAATTAAAGGCAGCTACAAACAATACCATGGATGACCTTCAAGTTGACCAGGGAACAACATCAGAAACCGTCCCAAAGGTGATTAAACCAGAGTCAAATGATCCAAAATATGCCAATGCGGTAACAGAAATAACCAATGTCAAACCCCCTTCAGAACTTGAACGAACAGGTGAATCAACCCCACATTGCATAATCACCACTGCAGAACTGGTTGAATGTATTGATGAGAGCGAACCCATGTTACTTCTGAATCAAGAGAATGAAGAATCATCAACCTTTGAAGGGTCGCCGAAAACTCCACCATCTGTCGACGTTGGTGAGTCTGGGCTTACAAGCTTTGCAAACTACCTTACCAAAGCTTCCAATAGTGGTCGTGTTGTACTAGAAGAAGTTACAAGTCCTTCAAATATTCCACCCAGACTCTTGACTACTTCTGGGCTTTCCCCTTCCCCTTCACGTATTCCAAGAAGATGTATAAACGAACTAAAGTCCAAACCTCCTAGTCCTACAAAACAATGCCTACAAATTCCAGAGCCGGTTCTAAGTTGTTTCTTCGGAGAATCATCGAAGGAAGAAGAGTATTTGGACATTTTGTTTGACGATGATCCTGTGGTTAAGTTTGATGTTAATAACATCTCAAAGCTTACAAGAACTGACATTGATTCCATGCTTGTGGTGTTTGAAGGGAAGGAAACCTCGCAGAATTGGACTGAGAGATATAACAATCTAGATGTACTCATTGGGTTAACGAGACTTCATCTCCCAGAGGGTCATTACTTGTATTTCCAAGACAAGCTTCGTTTGCAATTGACTGATATGATCTCAATCCTCCGTACAACTAGAACAAAATTATTAGGGAAGTCTATCATCTTTATCCGTGATTTAGCGTTCTTTGGGAGTGAATTGGCACTTTCGAAAGATACGTACACCACTTTAGTTCGATCTCTATTGACTCTAACAAGAGAGTCACAGGCTTCCAAACGCATTCAAAAGCTATCACAGAAATCGCTATGTATAATGTCCCAAACGTTGACCATCACCTCCTTCATCGAAAATTTCGACACGGTCTTCGCCAATACCTTGAGAGACAGAAAGATGAAGGGAGAAAAGTTTACATGCCTTCTTATGATAAAGTTCTCCATCTTGATGAATAAGGACAAGTTTACAGAAGATGAAGTCAAACATTTGATCGGTAAACTAAGTGAATTCATACCGGATCTAAGCACTGATCCGTACCAAAAGACAAGAGCAGAAGTATTGGAGTTGTATCTCATTTTGAAAAGGATACATCCAACGGAAGAAGACCTCTTGCCGTACTATGAGGGACTTTCCACATTTCAGAAGTCACAAGTTCCACCACCAGGCTTAAAGGCTTGACAAGTGCTCTACAACCGTCAACATCCACCATATTACTTTGCTAGTTAAGCTCGAACTACGGCTTTGTTGCCTGTAGAGATTACGCGTCGGTGTTTCCTCTCTTCAATTCTCGGAGTAATTTTACCCCAGTGAACAATGGGACGCAATTCCCCGAAGTGTTCTTACATCCTCACTTCAAACACTATAAAAATGAGGGAGTTTGCACTGAGTTCCGTCGCTATTCGTCCCTTGGACAGTACCTGTTCCCCATTGATTGCTTGCGTATTGCTTTGACTATGTCAGGAAACCCTTCAGTTGTTCTTAGAAAAGTTGGTGAGATCGTTCTTGAAGAAAGACCAGAGCCGCAGATTACAGATGAGCGCTCTGTAAAGATTGCCATCAAGCGTACCGGTATATGTGGTTCTGATATCCATTACTACACACACGGTAAGATTGGATCCTTCGTGGTGGAGTCTCCAATGGTGTTGGGACATGAGTCGTCTGGAATTGTTGTGGAGGTTGGAAGCAAAGTTACAAAGTGTAAAGTTGGTGACAGAGTTGCAATAGAACCAGGTGTTCCTAGTAGATACTCAGATGAGTACAAGAGCGGACATTACAACTTGTGTCCACACATGGCCTTTGCAGCAACACCACCTTTTGATGGTACTCTGTGCAGATATTATCTCTCTCCAGAGGATTTTGTCGTTGTGTTACCAGACAATGTCAGTTTAGACCAAGGTGCGATGGCTGAGCCTTTGAGCGTTGCTGTCCATGCCTCCAAGCTTGGAGGGGTTCATTTCAACTCGAGTGTTGCTGTTTTCGGAGCTGGTCCTGTTGGATTGCTAAGTGCTGCTTGCGCCCGTGCTATGGGCGCAACGCAAGTCCTTGTTGCTGATATCTTCGACTCAAAATTGGACATTGCCCTCAACATGGGGGCCACCCATGTGCTGAACACAATGAACGTCAAGGATGTGAGAACCGAGGTTGAGAAGCTTCTAGGTAATTATCCAGACGTTGTAATTGAAGCCTCAGGTGCTGAAATCGCCATTATCAACGGAATCAAGATCTTGAAAGCTGGTGGGACTTTTGTCCAAGTTGGAATGGGTAAAGACCTTGTTCAGTTCCCAATTGGGCAAGTTGCGGAGAAGGAGCTCACCGTTAAGGGGAACTTTAGATACTGTCACGGGGACTACAGGGATGCCGTTGCGCTCATGGCCTCGGGCAAGCTCAACATCGAGCCTATCATCACTCACAGGTTCGCCTTTAAGAACGCCAAAGACGCCTACGACTTCAACCTGCACAATGGTAAAGACGTGATCAAAACCATCATCGAGGGTCCGGAAGAGAGCCACAAGTTATAAACGGCACACGCTCTCTCCTTCCGTCTCTCCTCCCGTCTCTCCTCCCGTCTCTCGTCCATATATAACATCTAATATCACGGAAATCGGTTTACAGTTCCTAAAGGAGTAATCATCGCGGGCGTATTCCGTCAACAGAAGAGTACTAAGAGCGAAGGAAAAAACACCTGTGAAAACAGCCCGAGAGCAACAACAAGAGCAAATTAATCTCCTGGCACAACGGTTGGTATCACAGCGGCTGCGCCTTTCCTTCCTCATTCCATCCTGTTGATATGAGCACCGTTCGACTGTTGATAACCGCGCTGGTGCTGCTTGTTCTACCGCAAGCCGCCGTGGCGAAGACACATACATTCCACTACACCGCTGAATGGGTTGATGCTAACCCCGATGGGCTTCACGTGAAGAAGATGGTTGGCTTCAACGGCCAATGGCCACTCCCAGAGATCCACATTGACAAGGGCGATCGTGTTGAGTTGTACTTGACCAATGGGTTGGAGAATCAAAACACTTCGTTGCACTTCCACGGGTTGTTTATGCATGGTCAGAACTACATGGATGGCCCAGAGATGGTGACACAGTGCCCTATCCCACCAGGCGAGACGTATCTCTATAACTTCACCACTCACGAGCAGGTGGGCTCGTACTGGTATCACTCGCACACCGGGGCTCAGTACAGCGATGGTTTGCGTGGTGCGTTCATTATCCACGATCCCGATGTCCCATTTGAATATGATGATGAGAAGGTCATCACCATCAGCGAGACGTACCATCGTCAGTACGACGATTTGACCCGGGAGTTCAAGAACCGTTACAACCCTACCGGTGCTGAGCCAATACCTCAAAACTTGCTACTGAACGACACACAGAACGCCACGATCCATTTCGAGGCGGATAAGACGTACTTGTTGAGATTCATCAACGTTGGTGTCTTTGTATCTCAGTACGTGTACCTCGAAGACCATGAGATGACTATCGTGGAAGTTGACGGTGTATACGTCGAGCCCAAGACCGTGGAATACTTGTACATAGCCGTTGCCCAGAGATATTCAGTCTTGGTGAAGGCTAAGAAAACAACTGACAAGAACTACGCCTTGATGCAAAAGTTCGACAATACCATGTTGGACTCTATTCCACAGGACCTGAAACTCGCTGCGATGTCTTCCATTGTTTATGATGCAAAACAAGCGGCACCGAAGCCCTATTCTTTTGTTCCTTCCGGCTCATTCAACGAAATCAATCTTAGACCCTTGAACAAGACCGAACTTTTGGATGAGCCTGACTATAGGATCACTTTGGATGTAATCATGGATAATTTGGGTGATGGTATCAACTATGCATTCTTCAACAACATCACATATGTGGCACCAAAGGTACCAACCTTGCTCTCAGTGCTCTCTTCTGGAGAGCACGCTACAGATGCAAAGATCTACGGCTCAAATACCCACTCATATGTTCTTCAGCCACATGATATTGTTGAAATTGTCGTTAACAACCAAGACTCTGGTCGTCATCCATTCCATCTACACGGACATACCTTCCAAGTTGTTCAAAAATCTCAAGCCTTTGAAGAAGATGAACAAGAGGCCTACGACCCAGACAACCATGAACCTTTCCAAAAGTACCCATTGATTAGAGACACGGTGATCTTAGAGCCATTTGGTTACATAGTGTTGAGATTCCGTGCTGATAATCCTGGTGTGTGGTTCTTCCATTGTCACCTTGATTGGCATTTGGAACAAGGTTTGGCCATTGTATTGGTAGAGGACCCGTTGGCTATTCAAGAACAAACACCTCCAGATGACTTCTACAGAATCTGTGAGGCATGTGGTGTACCAACAAGAGGTAATGCTGCAGGTCATGTGAACGATTGGTTTGATTTACAAGGAGAACCGGTACAACCTGCACCACTTCCAGAAGGATTCACATTAAAGGGATACGTTGCATTTGCTATATCTACGCTCATTGGTATCTACGGCTTATGGAGTATCATTCAATACGGCTTGGAAGATGCTGTTCAAGATGATAAGGCCGTGTTTGACAAATTAGAACGTATCTTGAAAGAAAACGATATGATTCAAGTACCACTGCTTTCTGGTAACGACGCTTCAGAAGAAGCCCAATGATGACTAATGTAATGACTTCCACACACATCCGCTTGAAAAGAACAAGATACGCTGATGAATCCGTATCACACCAGCAAGTAGCTATGGGTTATTTGTTTTAATCGCACAACTATTGATACCTTACAATCGAGATCTAAGAGAACATATCATAATCAAATCATTAAACTAATATAAAACATAGAACACGGACATCACAATGCTATAAATTGTCAATAGAACATGCAGTGGATTGATGCTTGATACGTACAAGTCATCAAAATGTAATTCAACACCAGAATCTTGCAATTCTGACATGCAATGGGGAGTTTCTGAGTTGCTCAGCATCCTCAGCATTCTCCTGGGCGATGACGTCTGCATCAAAGATCTTTCTACCTCTAACCAAATCAATCTCCTCAGCAGATCTGAAGAGACGCCAGTTCTTGTGGTAGACCTTGTGAATGAGGTAGAACACGATGGCAACAACCATACCAAGATAGTTTTGGAAGAAGTTCTCAGCATCAGCTTTACCATTCTCGCCAATTGGGAACAATGCAATCCAAAATTGGGCCATCAAGATCAAAACGTTGATGGTGAAGGCATACCAGGAGCCCAAGACACCGGTCTTTGAACGGTATCCCAGCTCGCTAGTCGAGAAGCCTTGGACTGCCAAGGCCTTTCTGAAACGGATGTGACAGAGCACAATGGTAGACCAGGTCAAGATGGTTGACAAACCAGAGATAGCCAGCAACCAGTCGAACACCTCTTCTTGTTTCTCGTAAGCAGCGATGAAAGAGAAGATACCACACACAGCGGAGAAGATCAAGCATCTGATTGGTCTACCGGTTCTGTCGATGTAGTTGAAGAAAGAAGGAGCCATTCCTTGTTCAGCAAGAGATTGCAGTGTACGGGAAGAACAGAACATGGCAGAGTTACCGACAGACAAGACTGCAAGCAAGATAACTGCGTTGACGATGTGTGGAACAACGTTGACTTGCGAGACAGCAATGACGAATGGAGAAGTGTGAGATTGGGAGCCAGAAGCACCGAGCAAATCTGGAGAGTTGTATGGAACCAACAAACCAATCAAGAACAATGGAATGACAAAGAGGAACACAATACGGTACACAACTTGCTTGGTTGCCGATGGGATGGAACGACGTGGGTTTGGCTGTTCAGCAGCAGAGAAGGCCAGAAACTCGGTACAACCAAGGGAGAAAGCAGCATTGACAAACACAGCACACACACCTTTGAAAGAGTTTGCAAAGGCACCTGGGTTGTGCCAATACTTTGCACCAATGTAGCCAGTAGAAGAGGCACCACCACAGATCAGAATGACACACAAGATGGAGAACCCTAGAATCATCAACACCTTGGAAGTGTTTAAGAAGAATTCAAACTCAGCATAACCATCACTTCCAATGAAGTTGGCAATGACAATCACGGTGTAAAAGATTGCAATGAAGGCATCTGGGTTGATGGTCTCGTTCCAGTACTTGATGGTCATCGAAGCAGTAACCAACTCCAAAGGCATCACACAGAGCCATTGGATACAGTAGTTCCATGACACTGCGAAACAGAGAGAGCTGTCGACAAGAATAGAGGAGTAGGCGTTGAAACCACCAGTCAAATCAGCATAAGTGACAGCCATTTCACCAGCAGCCTCCATAACAGGGATAAGCATACTACCGACAACGATGATACCAATGATGAGACCAGCTGGACCACCATTATGAAGAGAGCTACCGGAACCAACAAGCAAACCGGTACCGATACCTGTTGCGACAGCAATGAGGAACATGTGTCTTCTGTTGATACCCTTCTTCAACTTCTCACCTTCATTACGAGCCTCTCTGATCTGGGCCTTCTCGGCCTCTGAGAGAGACGGATCAATATCGTCATCCATCTTCTTGAAGGAGTCTTTGAATCTTCTCCATCTGGTGTCATTTTGCGGATTCGTCTCAGAGACCGCAGTCATATGAAAGGAACCTGAATCTTCTTCAGACTTCATATTTGAAGTCTCGGCTTCAAGGGCCTCGATCTTATTACCCATGATGGAAGTGAATGTCTCAGTTGATAGGCTACGAAACTAAAAGCAAGCCAGATAGAGGAGGAATGAATTTCAATGGCACTAGCGAAAAAACAGGCTACAGGAATAGCTTTATACTAAATCTCAGAGACCACGAGCTCTTGCATCTAAATGGATGATGTCCAAAGACAACTGGAGGGAGGAGCGCTTGCAAAAAAGAAATTCCACGGCAGTAGGGCCCCTCTCCCCGTACTTCCAAGTGTTACATGACGTGCAAAAGTCGTTGCCAATCGTTGTCTTTCGGCTGATTTCTTGGAGATATTGATTAGGATATGCATTAGCCAATCAGACCGTTGTATAAAGTGCCTTTTGTAATGTAGTGTGGTGGTCACTTTCCACGCTTCCCCTGACCGACAAAGCACCGTTCCATACTATGACGTTTCAACCTCCGCCGCCTATCCAGTTATGGTGTATCACCTCGTCAAACAGTGAAGTAAAAGTCACTGCTGTGAAATGCAAGTTGTGGCCGTATGCTTCGCTTTTGTCCTGTCTCTTGGTGCCGTTGATGCAAGCAGAAGATGCCGCAACGACCGTGCTAACTGGACCACCACTGTACAACGCATACAAGGGACATGTCACGGTCAATCCGTTCAGAATATCAACAGTGTGAACAGGCAGGCCGTTGGACATGCCATAGCACACCGTTTCCCAGAATCAAGCCCTCGGTGGTGCTGTTTTGTTGTTCTGTTGTAAGGGAATAACCTATGTGTCAAACCACACTTCCCTGACAGGAGACGCGCCGAATCATCGAAAAAGGAGGAAAAACAAGAAATAAACTTCGGCCTTGAATGCCGCTTGATGCACGACGGAAAAACAGAAACGCCGTCTGGTTTGCGCAACACCATATATGGGCGCTGAGTGTAAGCGTGAAGATGTTCCGCCAACGGGCCCACGAGCTGGCAACGGGCTGGACATTTGATGCCCTTTCCCTGTGAGTGCCTTATGCCACAAGTTGCCAGAAGTTGCCAGTTGTCGTCAAGTTGTTGGTGGCTTGATTTTGTCCTGTGCCATTGATCAAGGAAACATCAGGTTGTTGGGCTCAGTGGCTTCCCTACGAGCCAGTAGACCGGCTGTGGTAGATAGGGAAGGTAGGATATACAAGAGCTAACGATTCAGTGCAATTGTTTAGAGATAACAGGGCACTGTTATGCTGTTCTCAGATAGGAAGGAAAGGGACTCCTGGTGATGTACATCTTGTGTGTGATTGCCTTGAACATCCGAAGTTTGGAAAGCCTGGACCAAATGTAGTTCAATACAAGCTTGAGTGGATCCCAAACATCCCCAATTATTTAGCGACTTAAGAGACGTCTTTTCCCTCCAAGGTCAAAGATGACAGGATTTAATAGGAGGATTCTTCAGTGTTATATAGCACAGCACAGCTCATTGGTTTGACCCTTTTTTCTGGAGACTTCAAAGTGAGATGCATGGTGGATGGCATCAACAACGCTCCCAGAGTCAAGGCTCAACACCCTTTTGTGCGTATGGCACCAAGGGTTTCCGACTCTGATCAGGCTTTACCACCTACAACAATAGGCACTCGTTTGACTCAGCTCCACTGAAAGCATCGTACATCACCTTCTAATGCCGAGATCTATTGTCAATTTGTGCACTTCATACCCGCAAGACGGTTATATGGTGTCAGTTACCACGCCCACCACACATTGCGAAAATGCATACATCCACTAAGAATAGAGAAAGATAACATTTTGTGTATACTGTGTGCCATCCATAACCACAGCTGAGTGGGCAGATGTCTACGTGCCTCTGTACTCATATATGGTCAGTGGCTAACGAGTGATTCCTTTTCCACAAGTGCCCTTACACACATGACACCACGCAAGTATAGCAATTGTCCAGGAAATACTACAATGACCCAGCTGGGAAAGTCAATGGCTCTAGTGTGTGCTCCTAGTGGCTGCCAAATACGTGTTTGATGATCATAATTTGACAAACTTGGCAGTTTGAGCACTTCTTCTTGAAGATTTCAATGGTGTTTTGGTAGCTGTGCTTGCAGTGGTCAATATTACCTCATCATTGAGCGAAAGATTATTCAGTGATGTGAGAAGGTTACTGAAAGATGACAAAAGAGGGCTGTTGTCAGATCGTTCGTTGGAATTAGTTCTTATGAAGAGTTTCTTCACAAACGATAATCGGACACTTGCAGATTTTGATGAATCCAAGCTGTACCAGTACGTAGATACAAATTCTCCAAGTGGTTTGCAAAAAGCTCTGAGTTTACGCCAATTCAGCACATTTCTATTATCAAAGTAACTGATTTAGTGACTTTGCTTCGCTGACAAAACTCGAGGGTATTATATATATATAACCATATATCAAGGTCACGTTAATAACCCGTCAGCCGGTATAGCCAACCATATGATCTCTCCGAAGACCACCAATTGGACAATTGACACATCTCAACAGGAGTTCAGGTATGTTGATCAATCACATGTTTACAAAATGTCCTATAGTATCTGTTTAGACCACGCTCAAGTCACCAAAGAAGGAAACCTTCACGGCAATGATCAGCCCAACATGAGCCACAAGTAATGCAGCACACAGAACAATGGCAAGCTTTTCTTTATCAACAACAACGCAACTGTGTCTAGTCACTGGGAAAACTTTCACCAGTATGCTGGCACAGCTGATTACACCTCCAAACAGGACGCTGATCCATTTCAAAGCACTGCTCAATATTGTATGGTTGACCAAGAAGCCACGAAGGATACTTAGGATGGCAGCTGGAACCCATGCAATGTTTGCATAACCGTATATCGAAATGAGTCGTGAAAGTGGGAACAATCCGGTGAGCTTCAAGTACCAGACAGTGATGAAGTAGAAAATGGTTGGAATCAGGAACGTGTAGCCATACAATAGCGAAATGGCACCTGTCAACAGATCAAAGTTGTACTTGTATGTAGAATCGCCTCCTTGGACCCAGCTAACCAGCAACCCTGAGCACGTATTACTGAAGAACAGTATGAAAATCACAGTTGCAGTGACCCAGATTGGACCATAAAGATCGCCAATCTCTTCAACAGAGTCCGTCTTGGTCGAAACAAAGTTCAATGCCTGCGCACAGTTTTGCAGGAATTCAGTGGTATTCAAGTTGAAGTAACGTCTATAATGATTGACTGAGAGTACTCCACCATCAAAGTTATTCGAGATGTGTGGTGAGTCGGAGCTCTGTCCTGGAAGCTGCTGTGGTGCACTTGGTACTTCAGGCTCAATCACAAAGTCATCCGGCGGAATGTATGCCTGAGCAGTCATCGCCTTTGGCGTTGTTGAGAGATTGGTGTCATCTTCAAGCCAGTTGTCCTTCATCAATGTTAGTTCTCCAGCACCATTGAAAAGGAGGAATTGCACAAAACAACAAGCCAGATGAGTCTACTTACGTTGTCGATGTCTAAAAGATCGTTGTTCTCGTTGGCTTTACTCATTGCGATAGTAGTTAGATCTCCAATGTTGGAACAAAAGTACTGGAACGGGTAAAAGCGCAGAGACCCGTTAAATCCACAGGAATCCACACAAATCCAGCGGGACGGGATTGGCTCATTTCCGAGGATACAACTCTGACCGGACTTCCCGATTGGGAAACGCCAACTACAACGGTTGAAACAGTGAAGATGCATTTCAACTATAGTAAGCAGAGGTCTCGTAGTCGTTAAGAATCAGCGAGTTCGCAGATCCCAAGTTGTAATAGCCACTCGGGGTTGATCCCTGCACCTGTGCCCCCCTCTCAGTCAGAGCTGAGGTCATTGGCGGTGAAGACAACGGAGTATGCGGGTCACTCAGCACTTTTGATGGGCCGTCAAGGCTCTGAAGGTACCCAGTTCTCTGTTCGTTGCTCAGAGAGGGAGATGCCCTCTTGGGTTCGTTTGAATGGTCACTCTTAACTGGTGAGTCAATTCCATGTGTTGGGGATGGCTTGGCTGGTGACGTTCTCTTCTTTGATGATGTCTCATGGTGTGACGGCGTTGCACTCACCAGTGTCTTAGTCCGGTCTTTTAGCTCAATATCTTCGAATTCAACCTCGTAAGCTGTATCAAACACGTTCTCAATCAGTGTTTCGTCTAAGCCATACGTCTCCGGGAGGTAAAAGCCCATAAACAGAGCTCCACAGATGCAAAATGCACCAAAGAGTATAAACGTTCCCCATTTGATGGTGCTCAACAATAAGGGTGCTAAGAAAGTCAACAAAAAGTTGAGGGACCATGAAAAACTCATACAGATGGCTGAACCTTTAACCTTGGCCTTTGATGGTAGGATCTCATTGGTATATAGCCAAGCTGCGCACGACAAACTCGATGCAAATATTGCAACAAAGAGAAAACAAAAGGCGAGGCATATTGATCCTGGTGTGCCTTTGATCTCCCATACAATGCTCTCATTACCATCCACGGGTAAAACAGCATGTCCAAAGGATCCCATTATTACACCAATGACCAAGTTACACAGTCCAAGAGATACAGCGCCATAAACAAGGACATCCTTCCGTCTCATCTTATCAAGCCACAAGATTGGGATGATTGTGAATATCACATTGATCACATACTGGACAGAGGCTGAAAGAATCTTACTATCACCTTGTAAGCCAATCATCTCACAGATGAAGACTAAGTAGTACATCAAGACACCTATACCACTCAACTGAACGACGCACTGTGTGGTTATTCCAGCTATGAGATGATACCTTAGAGAATGACCCAATAAATCTCTGTATGAACACTTCTTCAGGTGATTCTCAAATTGGTTAAGCACGCCTTCGATGTTGTTCAAATTGTTCAGAGACAGGTTAGCGTGTATGACCTGATCCGGTATTTCATCCTTGGTTGACCACGCAAGCTTTAAGCTGTCCATTGTTTGTGTCGCTAGCAGCCATTTCCCCTTCGAGGCATACCACTTCGGGGACTCAGGTAATATGAACCCCAAGAATAGAAGCATCAATCCTGGTAACCCTTCCACTGCCCATGCTACTCTGAAGGAACCATCTTCTTCAAGGTTCAAGCACAAATATGAGAGGTAAAACATTATCATTATACCCCACGTCAAGCACCACTGAAGTGTAGATGTGCCTAGACCCCGTTTATTTGCCGGCAAAAGCTCCATGACATAGACTACAATAGATGCAGAAAGAATACCAACGGCGATGCCCTTGATACTTCTTCCAGCGATAAGGGTTCCGATATCCACGACGAAAACAGAAACTACGCTACCAACCACCCAAGCAAATGAGGCGATCTGGATAGTGGAGACACGGCCAAACGCATCAGATAACACACCTGCTAGCCAACAGCCAGCTAACGAAGGGAATTGTTAGTGCTTCCACACTCTGAGAGTACTTTCCTGTCAAGTATACTTACCAAAAGCCGCTGCCGGCGACGATCCCGCTATAATACCTTGCCATAGAGGAGAAGGATAGTCAAAGTAAAACTTGAACTCCTCCTCGCCTATGAACACCGCCATAGCTGTGGTTTCAAGCCCGAGCATCAACCCGCCTAATGACACAATCAACAATATCAGATTGGGATGATACACCTTGAACATCGTCAACAAAAAGCGTGTGTGTTGGTTCTGGAAACTGAGAGGTGCTGAGATTGAATTCCGCGTGTAATGATAGTGCCATGGTGATTGTAAAGCTGATTTAAATATTTCCTTTTATCTACGCAATTGGTTTTGTGTAATGGTTGGTGGAATAACTTGCGTGCATTGTTTACATTTAGGCGAAACGTTATTTCTGCGCCTGTCTCCCAACTGGAGTTGCTGTGGTTACACCAACCTGCCCCTGTCACACCGTCGCCGCCGAGGATAGTGAGGGCAGGGTAACCTTTTATAAAGTTGGCGCGCTCTGCTTTTCGAATTTGTGATTATGTAATATCGGTACAGCCACGTTTTGTCGATGCGCTGATTTGACGCTTCATTTTTTTTTTCCGTGCGTGGCCGACTTCTTCTTCGATGGGCTTTCGAAATCTCGGAAGTTTGTAAAATCTGTTTGGTTCAAGATTGACAAGTTGCACCATCTCCAGCTCATTCTAAGACGTTTAGTTTAAAGCAGGAGAGATGAGACTTTTGGGGAACTTGTGGGGTAAGAGCTCTCGTCAGCTCTTGAACTCCTTTGCTCAGAAGAGACTGTTCCATTACTCAGCTGCTGTTCGTACCTACGAGGAGGAAAAGGTTGTCATTGACAAGATCCTCGAGAAGCTGCCGGAAGATGACTTGAAGAAGTCGTCGTTGATGAGAAACATCGGTATCTCTGCCCACATTGACTCTGGTAAGACCACATTCACTGAGCGTGTGCTTTTCTACACGGGTAGAATCAAGGCCATCCATGAGGTGAGAGGCCGTGATAACGTTGGTGCCAAGATGGACTCGATGGATCTTGAAAGGGAAAAAGGTATCACCATTCAGTCTGCTGCTACCTACTGTTCTTGGGAGAGAAACAACAAGCCTTACCATTTCAACTTGATTGATACACCAGGTCACATCGATTTCACCATTGAAGTCGAAAGAGCTCTTAGAGTCTTGGATGGTGCTGTCTTGGTTGTCTGTGCTGTGTCTGGTGTCCAATCCCAAACTGTCACCGTGGACCGTCAGATGCGTCGTTATAACGTTCCAAGAGTCACATTCATCAACAAGATGGATAGAATGGGTGCTGATCCTTTCAAGGCCATTGAGCAAATCAATGCTAAACTCAGAACCCCTGCTGCTGCCATTCAAGTCCCAATCGGTGCTGAATCCCAGTTGAAAGGTACTGTGAACATCATTGATAGAGTTGCTGTGTACAACGAAGGCTCTCAAGGTGAAATCCTGAGAACTGATGAAATCCCAGCTGATTTGGTTGACCTCGTTGAAGAGAAGAGAGCACTGTTGATTGAGACATTGGCCGACGTTGATGACGAGATTGCTGAGATCTACCTCGATGAACAAGAGCCAACTCCTCAACAGATTAAGGATGCCATTAGAAGAGCCACCATTGCCAGAAAATTTACTCCAGTCTTGATGGGCTCTGCTTTGGCTAACACCGGTATACAGCCTGTCTTGGACGCCGTCTGTGACTATTTGCCAAACCCAAGTGAAATTTTGAACAAAGGTTTGGATGTCAAGAACGACGAGACACCAGTTGAATTGATCCCATCCTCCAAGGAGCCATTTGTCGGTTTGGCATTCAAGCTTGAAGAAGGTAAATATGGTCAATTGACATACCTCAGAGTGTACCAAGGTCGTTTGAAGAAGGGTGGTTACATCACCAACGTCAAGACTGGCAAGAAGGTTAAAGTCTCCCGATTGGTACGTATGCACTCCGAGGAAATGGAGGACGTTGACGAGATTGGACCTGGTGAAATCTGTGCCACTTTTGGTATTGATTGTTCCTCTGGTGATACTTTCTCCGATGGTACCACCCAAATCGCCATGTCTTCTATGTTCGTTCCAGATGCCGTTATTTCTCTCTCTATCACTCCAAAATCCAAGGATGTGACAAACTTCTCAAAGGCCATCAACCGTTTCCAAAAGGAGGACCCAACCTTCAGAGTCAACTACGACGCAGAATCGAAGGAGACAGTCATCTCAGGTATGGGAGAATTGCACCTGGAAATCTATGTTGAGCGTATGAAGCGTGAGTACGGTGTCGAATGTACCACGGGTAAACCACAAGTCTCTTACCGTGAAGCCATCACCATCCCAGCTGACTTTGACTACACCCACAAGAAACAATCTGGTGGTGCTGGTCAATTCGCCAAAGTTGCCGGTAAGCTGGAGCCAGTTGAAGGTGACTGTAGCTTCGAGGCTCAAATCGTCGGTGGTAAGATCCCAGAGAAGTTCTTGCTTGCTTGTCGTAAGGGATTCGAGGAGGCCATTGAAAAGGGTCCTCTCATTGGTCACAAGGTTCTCGGTGTTTCGATGCTCATTAACGATGGTCAAGTCCACGTTGTCGACTCCAACGAACTGGCCTTCAGAACCGCAACCATTGCTGCCTTCAAGCAGGGTTTCCTCAAGGCCAACCCAGTGATCTTGGAGCCAATCATGAACGTGGATGTCACCGCGCCAAATGAGTTCCAAGGTAACGTCATTGGATTGCTGAACAAGGTGAGCGCCATCATCGCCGACACTGAAAACGGCCAGGATGAGTTCACCATCACCGCTGAGTGTCCTTTGAACCAAATGTTTGGTTTCGCCACCTCCTTGAGAGCTGCCACTCAGGGTAAGGGTGAATTCTCCCTGGAGTTCAAGCAATACTCCCAGGCTCCAGTGCATCTACAGAAGGAGTTGATTGCTGAGCATCAAAAGAAACTCGCAGAGGAGAAGAAGTGATGGCGGTCTTCACGTTACTGCAATAGTCGTATAGAAAGTGTTAAGATATCCTTGTACATATTTAAAAATGTGTAGTGTGTTTATACAACGTTCAACATGGGCAGAGGTCTCTGAACACCTTGCCGCTTCACGGTGTTGGTGGTGCTTGAGGGTTTTTTTGCTGTTGTTGTTGTTGTTGTTGTTGTTGTTGTTTTCTGTGTGGCACCGTTCGATCAACAAACTCCGAGAACGTTTTCCAGCAAAGCTCAAGAACTCAGCAAGATTTGCTACGCGCGTAGGGAAGCCAGCGGGTGGTTTGGTTATGGAATGATCGATATCAGCGCGGTAAGGGAAGAGGACTTTGGTGATGTGCTCGACACTGATGTCAGCGACGTTTCAGTGGAGGTCGAGGCCGTTGTAAGCGACCAAGATGCTAACCACGGTGCCCTGAAAAGCACCGTGGTGTCCAGTCCCATTGTTATGGCGATCTACAAGGTCAATTACTCGATGAACAAGCCTGTGGAGGGCCTGGAGGAGCTGCGAAATGAGAATGATGGTAATATAATGACATCCGAGATGGTTAGAGAGCTCAATGTGCCTGAGGGTGATTCATTCAACACTGATGGCTTCGACAGCTTGGAAGCAGATATGTTGAAGTATACCGAATCCAAGGCCAAAGGTGCAGTAAGCGGAGCGGACGTGAAGGATGATGAGGTTTCTGAGGACTACCAGCCTGAACTTGATTCAGTTGTAGTGCGTGTTCACCAATCATATATCAGTACTGGTGAGGACTCCGTGTTCCCTTTACCTGCGGCAGTGAGGGCTTGCAACGTTCTTCCAGGTGCATCCCTTGGTGACGGACTATTCGACGAGGACACCCTTGTTGTTACCGTCATGTCACAGCTGGTTCTGCTCATAAGGTTCTTTGCTCAAGGGGATAGGGTTGTGCCCTACGTTGTTCAAAGCTGGAGAACCTCACACCCTACTGAAGACGTCAATGCTTTAACTACCGTGGGACGTGAGATCCTGGTACACAAGTCTGGTTCTGTTATAGCCTTACCAGCTCAAAAGGACATTGTTCGGCTGTACTACTGTGCTCAAACTCCACGTGGTGTCATGCTCGATCAAATACATAATTTGGTTGTAGACGGCACAATCCTGCACTCTTGCTTCCTCGATCCACTGAAGGATGTCCCTGGTGGACATGCGATGCTGTGTGTCATGATGATAACGTCCCAAAAGAGATACGTTATTCGACTCTATGAATGGTGGATTGATGAACGAAGAATTTCAGAGCATACGCCATTACTCCTGAACAATGATTTTGAAATTCCTGTTTTTGTTATTCCCTTCAAACAGAGGATCTTCATGATGATGCCAAAGTCAATCATTGTGGTTGGAATCAACAATATACTGTCTGCTGATAAAGGATTCCTTGGTGTTGAGTTCCCTGGCTCCTTCCCCGTGAGCTGCTTCAGGCCCACAACACCAATTATAGCGCCAGATCCAGACGATGAAGTTCTCATAGCGACAGAAGATGGCACAATATACTCTGTTGTGATATATGATGAGAAGATTCATATCCGGCCAATCCTAAGAATACCAAAGATCTCAAAGTTCATTTTGGAAAAGAGAGATTCACAATACCACCTTGTGTATTCCAGAGATCTATCATATGGTGGCTGTATTGTTTTTGATGACATTGTTCGTGATTCTTTAGCCACTGATAAGCTGGAAAAGAGCCAAGGTCATATGATTCTTAAGTGGGATAATTGGGCACCTCTGTGGGATGTTTCTGTTGTAATGGATAAGGACAATAATGAAGAATTGTGGTTAGCACATGGCAAGTACTTGTCACTTCTAAAAAGGGGATACTCTGCTACAAAGGAGATATCAGATTCGTCTCTGAAACGGGCTTCTAAGGTGTACATGTATGAGGTGAATGATTCCTTCTACTTCATTTTTTCCTTTGTCGATAAAACGCTTATGTTTAGGTTAGAGGACGATTCGCTGGTTGAGATCAATGATAACATGATTGATATGTTGAGACCAACACTTTACATGTATCGGTTCGGCGATATCTGCATTCAAGTTACTGACAATTCTATCATGGCCCTTGATTTCTACGAGGACAATGTTATCACAAAGGATTTCTCCGAGGATATTGTAATGGCACACGGTCTAGATGAAGTACTAGCCGTCATATCAGAAGATGTTGTTAATGATGAGTTCCGTACAACTCTGACGGTACATCAACTCGAAACAAGTTCGTGGACTAGCGATCCTCATAAATTTTTGATCTCTACCAGTCCGAATTTTGTCAGGGTGATAGCTGTTGAGTACAGGTTCTTTATAGTCATTGGCTTCCAATCAAGTTTAGCATTTTGGGAACAAACAGAAAACGGGTTCGAGTTTCGAGATGAAATCGTTATTCCTTTCAAGGAACTCCACGATTTAGTACAAGTTGGCGATATGGTGTATCTGAGCACTCGATATGGAAAGTACATCTGCTACAATCTACACATCAATGATGAGAGTATTGACTTAGAATACCTATACCACATGCAATTATGCACTTTGCCGATTGAATTTCATTTAGCCAATGATCACATTTTACTGATTTCCAAAGGAGTATGGAGACTAGAATTCAACTCGAAGTTCCCCGTGCCCATTATATTCCAGGAAACGAAAGACCGTTGTGTATTTTCATGTATTCATACAATTGGGTCTAAATACGCTATGCTTAGAGATGATGGCTTTACAATGTTTGATGTCTCATCTCAATATGCACCAGTTTTGAAGACAATCAGCTTGGGGAAAGTTCCCAAGAAAATCCAACACATATGTCATCTCAACATATTCGCAATAATGACAGAGAATACACTATTATTCACCAACAAGCACACAGTTTTGGAGACGAGGTTATTCTCTAGAAAGCAGAACAGGTCGGTATTTGGCAATGATGAAACTTTACACCACATTTCTGAATGGATCTTACCAACTTCTGAGAAGTCATTCAGAAACATACTAGTTGCGTGCAGTAACAATAATGGTGGAACCATCAAAGTATTACAACCCAAAGTTCACGTTGAGGATGCCAATGTGATTGAATGTTTTGAGATTTACTCCATAAAGGCACCTGAAGCAGTCCTGGTTGTTGAACAATTAAACGATAATGAGATCATTTATTCTTCCGGGTCCACGCTGTACAAATGTCAGTATGACCACAACAAGAAAAAGATGAGTGAACCAATATCACTTAAACTGTTCAACGAATTAATCACTGGTATTAGTGTCGGTGAACTCGGGATCACTGTGACGACAAAGGACCTTTCAGTGCACTACTACAATAAAACACTAGACCTCTGGGAAAGCAATGTTCTAAACAGGGGCTCATCATCAATAACGTTGGACAGGAGCTTGAGTGTCGTCTCCAATAAGATGTATTGTTTTGTTTCCGGGTATGTCTCTAATGATAGCAAGAGGTTTACGTCATATACTGGGTACATCAGCAGGTTGAAGAAGTGCAAATTTTCTCCACTTTGGTATCCAAGTCCATTGAGACGGTTTCTGTCGTTTGGAATAGGTGGTGATATTGATGTATTCACCATGCTGACAAAAAACGAATATGAGGGCATCTCCCCAATGGAAAAACTTGACGAGCATGAAACGTCTGTTACTCGCAAGGGATTGTGGAAGTTGGATGAATTTAGACGCGCTTCACATAGAGATGAACACGTTCTTCACAGTTATGCCCTCCATGGAAATAATCTGGATGAAGAACTACAAATGCTTCTACATTCGGTGTCCATATGATACGTTTTCATTGATCATTACCGTACTGTTTTTGAATCTTTTCCAATAAATTGTTGATTCTTGGACCCATAAGAGGCTGTCCAGTTCTGGTCTTCTGCGATAGTAGTTCCTTCTTCTTGTCCCTTGCTTCACGTTTCAGCTGAACCGTTTCCATTCTCTGTTTTTTCTCCTTCTCACGTAATTCTCGAAGGAACTTCTTTCTCTCTTTAGCTATCTGTTGACGTTCTTGGAACGACGGCCCCTTGTCGGCTTCTCTCACCACTCTGTGCCTATGTACTTCTTCCTTGTCTGGGACTGATTCTCCGGATCTTTCAAGCTCCTTGAGGTATTTCCTTTTGAGTCTGGCTTTATGTGTCAGAGCCTGTCTGATCTCTCTATCTATATCACAGCGTTAGGATGTCATTCGCAGAACGGCAAAGCAACTCATCAACTTACTCTTCGACTCCCTTCTATCCAAATACGGATTCTTCTTCTTCTGGAAACGACCGTTCTTATGCTCAACCATCCTGTATCCAATGACTAATCGAGCTCTGCAATTATGGCATAAACTGGTGGAAAAGATTGTTTAAGAAGCGATGAGCTGAAGCGAAGGGAAAAAAATTCATTTCCTAATCGGGCCAGTTCCGGGCCTCTGCCTCGGAATTTACCGTTTTCGGAGGCCAGCACAGGTCGCCAAAGTGAACAACAAAGCGCATCATCACCAATACTTGAACCACTTGGAGGAAGCTCAACCAGCCTTTAGACGATGTTTTCGATCGTGCAGAGAGGTCAGCACGTCTTGAACCATGCGGTTACTTTGATTGGTATTCTTTCGGTGTTTATTGCGCTCAGTTCATATGCCCTGCTCCAGCAGGGTGGAGCTTTCAACTTACCAAGCACAATATCAGGCGTTAGCCCGTGAGTTCTCCATCCGTCATTGATTGGAACCATTACTAACGGATGAGATATAGTCAAGCCACTGTGAGAATGAGCAGAAGGTTCGGCTCAGTTGGAAGTAAAGAGAAGGAGAATAACAAATTGACGTTTGATCTCCAAGCTGATCTGACGCCTCTGTTCAACTGGAACACCAAGCAAATCTTTGTCTATCTCACTGCTGAGTACCCTGGTAAATCTGAAGGCTCATCTAACAAAGTCACCTACTGGGATAAGATCATCACATCTAAGGACAATGCCAACCTCACTCTCCAGAATGAAAAGTCAAAGTACTCTGTGTGGGATGTTGAAGATACCTTCAGAAACAGAGAGGCCACAGTGAAACTGGAATGGGATATTCAACCATACGTTGGTATTTTGATCTCTGGTGAGACTACTGGTGAAGTTGATGTTGTGTTCCCAACACCACCAACAGGTGAGGAGGCCAGAGCTGAGAAGATGAAGAAAAGACAGCAGAAGCAACACTAGGAATGAAAAGAAGTGATAAACATAGCAAGCGTGACGATATTAGTAGTATATGTTTCTATATAATTCAAAAGAAATGTATTCATCAGGCTTCAACTAATCAGGACAGGGCGACAAAAGTGGTATGAGGTGTTCTATGTACATGGTGTTTGTCCACGTCCCAAGTGAATCTCAGCAAGAACAATTCAAATGACAAGGGATCACGCCTTCAACGTCTCTTATGACCACCGGATAGCTTTGAGCGTAGCTCTGGTAGGTTCTTGATAAGCTTTGGATACTTCTCTCTTAGGAACAGATAAGGATCGGACCATCCATCAAGCTTATCCCTTCCAGAGCGTTTGGAGCCAAGTCTTGTGTTGATGATGTAGGCATAAAGCATGTTGACCAATTCTTGACGATATAAGTAACCCGTCCTCAAGTACGGTCTCTTGTACGGGCCTTTGGACGATGCCACCAGCAACAAAAGGTTCTGCTCTGCTCTCCGTTTGTTGATTGAGCGTAATATACGTCTTGATATTTCACCACCAATCAGCTTCTTCTCAATTAGGTACAAACCGTAGTGTAATGTTTGCTCTTGTCTGATGAAGCGACGTACAACCCAGTTTAGATGCTTGGAATCAAAGGTGAAGTTGTTGACAAAGATTAAGTCTTTGAACAATAGGTAGAACCTCTTGATATCACCAACATGGGAGTAGTAACAGTAGATAGATTTGATGACAGAGTTGTAAATCTTCTTCATGTGCTTTGGGGCCGATGCAGTTTCATTCATGGTATTCTTGACCCGTTGTTGGAAATTGTGCAATACAATTTCAAATGACTTCCAATCCTTCTCCAACGCATATAGTTTCAGCTCTTCCTTCATAAAGTTCAGGTTATAATCAACATCAAAATCAGGTCTCAAGACCTTGAAATTCTGCATCAGTCTATTCGCTTCGGCTGGTCTGTAATGTTTCAAGAATGCACTCACAAGCGGTTTGATAGCCTTGAAGTGCAACATCTGGTCGATAGGCAGCTTCTTCTGTCTCAACGCCTCCATCAAATTGTCAACAACCTGTGTTGGACGCTGGAGATTCTTGTTGTTGATTATATCTAGCCGTATAAGCGCAACAAGTAACTCATGGTAGGTATATGAGCTTAGTACAACACGGTTTCTGGAAATCATGTTGAAAACTGTGAGGGTGTTCTCAAACTGTTTGTGAGAGTTGTAACCATGCATCAATGTTGCGTAGTGCTTATTGGTAATCTTATAGCCACGAGTGTTCATATCATTCAGCACCTTCAAAGCACTATCGAAATCTCCCTCAGAACAGTAATACTCTAGCTCTGAGTACAGTACCTTTGGTGGGGATTTGAACAGCTTCTTCGTTGCTTCCAAGGTTGCCTTTGCAGCTGTGAGATCACCCAATCTTAGATATGTTTTCATCAGTAGCAAATGCATCTTTTGGTCTGGGTTGTGGTTTGATTCTTCGTAGAATAGCTTCTGAACCTCTGAGTAGTTGTTGAATCGGTAATGTAACTCCATCAGCGCATATCTGAATTTATCGTTTGGCTCGATCTGTAGTTTCCTCATGGTGGATAGAACCTTAGGCAAAGTATCGATATCATCTGCATTCTTCATGGCTTTGAGTATCAGTGTGGCATGTTGAATGTTCAATCCTTTTTCACGTCTAGAAAGCATATCAAACAACGACATCGCAGTTGTGATGCTTCCCTTCTTGGCCATCTGTTCTAGCAGAAGAGTAAAAGTCTTACCTGACGGCTTTAGCCCAGACGAGTATATCTTGTTCACGTGTTCAAAGAACTTCGGTGCGTCTTTCTTGACCAGTTCTCTTTTCATTAGCACGTTGTAAAACATTGGTGTCGGCTTCTTGTAGTAAGTGGCATAATCCTCCGACAAAATATCAAACTCCTCAAACCGTTTGTCCTTCAACAAGGTCTCTAAGACTCTTAGAGACTTGTATGGAGTCATAATTCCATCTTTGAATAACTGTTCTGTTATTGCAAATGCCTCATCCCTATAGTCCAACCCCGTAACTATGGGTATCATTGCCCTTTGGACCCTTGGGGTATGCAATGGCTCGTTATCTTTATATAACAGCATGGCCTTTCCATACATTTGTGTATATGACAATGCCTTTATAGTATGTACAAGCTGTGTACTCGTCTTATACTCATCTGGTGTAACTTTCCACAGGCGAACAGATTTGTCAAACTGTTCCAGTCTGTAAACCGCAAATGATACAGTTTTGTAAAAGTTCTCATGCTGGTCCTTTGGTAGGAACTGAGATGCTAACGAGCATATCTGGCCGATATCATCCACAGCAGAGATGATCCCGTATAGTACGGCCATGTGCTGTGAAGAGTTCCTGGTGTGTAGCAAATGTAACGATTTGAAATCGATATCTGATACTATAAGCCATAGCAGAAGAGAGCCCTTAACCCTTTTCAGAGAGAGCAGCGAATGGACACTTCTGCTGAGAGCCAGTCTTCTGGTTTTGAAATCCAGCTGCGAGGCATACGACTTTAAAGCTTCATAGTCGCTTGATAGAACCAAGGCCTGCCATAGTAATGAGTCCTCGTGTGCATCTCTTGTTTTCGTCTCCAAGAGATGTAAGACGGCCTCATATCGATGGTACTGTAGGAGCAATAGAAGTGCCTCTCTCTGTAATTCCTTGTCCGCTGTTGTCGGTAGCAGCTTCACAATCGTGTCAATGTCATCTCTAGATTTCGAGCTCTTGTTCAGCAGCGAATCCATCGTCACCACAGCAGGACGTGCACTATCAGTGCTTCCCAAGTGGTTGTGTTCCACGAGAGTAGATCCGAACCTGAGCATCCAGCTGTACCTGTTGTTCAGCTTCCTTATGGCCATCCTATTCAATTTTGGCACCATAACACTCTGTAGCATCTTCTTGGGCCTCGACGACGAATATTTACCACACGTCTGTATATTCCAACTCAGCAGGTCTGTGCATCTTGGGTCCAGCAGTTGTAAAGGCCGTGGTAGCCTTAGAGAAGACATCTTATTAGGGGGGATAACGCCAAATGATCTGTATTCGGGTTATGAATCTCTGTTACCAAACTTTTCGGCCAATGCTTTAAAATGACAGTGCAATCAACCGCTTCAACTGGGGCCGCTACAACCTGGGAGACTCAACAATGGCGATGGAAATCGGGCGCACAACTGTATGTCCTAAGTGCAAGTTATCGGTCTTCTATGCCCTTGAGATCAGCGGCTTGTGATTTATGCCCAGTTGTTTACAAAAGCTCTCTGTGCTGTTTTGATTGTTCCACTTTTTTGCACGTCTTTGTGATGGGCTTTGGAATTTTTTTCCGATTCCCGAGGGCCCTGGCGGTCGGAATTATCGGGAAACATCCGGACACCTTCACATCCGGACATCTCCACCTATGGCTCATCGGGCAGGGCCTCATTGTGGTGAAGACGAAGGTGACGAACAGGGTTACAACTCATTAGAACCAATGGGAGGCATTGGTGGGATGAACAGTACTACAGACCCATCAAAGTAGAAGTCTAAGATAAATTAAAGCCAAAGAAAAAGAAGAGCGGATGCTTCACAGTGGTGAAGCAAACGACACAACACTAATGGCAGCAGTAGTAGGCATACCTCTCTTTAGTACACACACCAGTGTGGGAGATCAAAGTTCCTCTAAAAGTCAACCTCCAAGAGATATCCAACAGTGTGTAAACATTAACAAAACAAAGGACCAGTGGCTCAAATGTAATAAAAGAGCCAGAAAATGGGGGAAAAAGTTGTTCATCGCCACGGCCGTCGAAGTCAACGCCATGGGGCATCGGATAAGATGAGAGCAACGTGTAGGATCATGAGAGGAACAATGCAAGCGAGCGTAAAGGAATCATTATCATCAAGGGAGTCAAAAAAAGAATATTCATGGCGGGGAACTCCCGCCTCCATGAGAAGGACAAACAAATGTGCAAGGAGTAAACGTCTCGGTGCACGTTCAAACCGTGCTCTTCAGCGGAGCATCAGCGGTCACTCCGCCATACGTCGGAACAGCGTTGTAAAAAGAGTCCTTCACTTCGCCTGCAACGGTGGCAACGATCTCGTTGTTTGAATCCAAGATATAGCCTTGATCGCTGTTATCTGGGAAGACAGTGGCGCAGTCGTTGCACAGTGGCGACTTGACGAACTCGTTGTACGCCTCTGGCGAGGTGAGCTCGATCGGCGTTGTGTTGATTCTCAGTGTCATCTTGGTTGTGGTAGTATTCAAAGTAGTAGTTATAGCCTCTTGAACAAGTCAACAGCACAGAACAAAAGACATCTTCCGGTGGAAATGACCAACGCTTTATATACCACAAAACAGGAAATGCCAATGAAAGACTGAAAGGAGTCGGAACGTCATCTCTGCATCAAAAGTTACATCAAGCAGTTCTGACTAATTATCTGTGGCCCTACTGCAAACGGTTGTAAAGGGTTGTAAATTGAATGCAGATAAGCACCTCAAGACACCGGGAAAATTTTTACTTTCTCATCTGTCTCGTCTAATCTATGGAGAATCGGAACTTACAACCTGACGGGCCTAGACCTCGTGATAAGACTGCTGTGTATTGGGTAGCGTAGTTGGCCTGAGGTTTCCTGGTGCTTTCTGTGTGCCGTTGATAACCCTTTCGCTCAATGAGATCATAGCAACCTCTCGCTCTCCCTCTGCCTACGCTCCCCCTCTGCCTACGCTCCCCCTCTACCTACGCTGCCTACGCTGTCTACACTGCTTGTGATCATCTACCGGACCGGTGCGCTGCCCTCCAGTGCGGTCACCGGTGGTGCCAGGCCATCCAAGCGTTGTTAGGAGATTGCGGTCACATAGTCTCGGGTTCCTTGATCCGAGCAACAGAGTAGTCGCTTGGTGCGGTAGCGGCCATCTGATCGGCTACCGAGGTCGCATTCGGTAATGTTATCCCGCGGTGGCCAGGGGTTCTTCCAGGTGGTGGGACGCTGTTAGGTGCTGGCTGTTAACTGGTGGCTGTTAACTGGTGGCTGTTGGCTGTTACAGGGGAGTTGTCAGCTGCCTGCCATTATAGTGTACGGTCCATCAGCGAGTGGTACAACACTGCTGCAGAAGCTATCGTGCAATTGCATGTTATTCGGCATCTATATCGTAACAATGGTACATACAACGCGCATCACAGATGTTCGAGCATTCACTTGAGCTCCTTCTCAAAGACTGGGAACTTCAGCCCGTGACATCCCTTGTAGCCGGCATTCTTTGGCTGTTCCCAACCCTCGAGCAGAGAATCGTCAGTGATCTTGTAGACCTCGATGCCCAGTGGTCTGCAGCAATCAACCATGTCAACCTTGGTGTCCTCGTCTCCTTCACCCCAGTCCCACGCACTCAAATCGCCACCTGGACATGCGCTGATTGCACACAGAAGGTCAACCTCTGCAAAGAACTCAAAGTAGTCACCTGGGATCGCAGGACACGTCTCCATGTAGTAACGGCCCTTGTGATCCAACCCTGTCACTTGGAAGATGTTCAGAACGTCATGCACGTCAAACTCAGTGCCTCCGTATGGGATGATCGCTCTGTACAAGTTGGAATGGCAGTGGAAATCGTTATCCTCACCACTCAGAAGAGTATCAACGTATGGATCACATCTCGTTCCCAGCAGGTCGTGGATCTGATCAATCTCCATACGGTCCCTGATAGAGTCGCCAGTGACGGTCAGCAGTGGTCTCAAGTACGGTAAGTTGGACCACAGGCGGTCGTACTTACGAACATGTGCACCTTGTAACTGTCTGGTTCTTGCTGCCCACAATCTCTCCCTGAAGTTGTCCGCACTCCAAACGTTGAAATCGCAGACTTGAGGGCCCTCTGGTGTCGTGATACGCACGATGGACCCAGCTGGCACTTTCCACGCCCTGCCACTACGGATAGGACAGATCTCGCGGTGAACCAGCTCGCGGGCCTTGGTGTTGGCGATGGCATCGTAGAACTCCTTGTTGACATCCAAGATGGAGCCCTTGGTTGGGAGGTAGGCAGGCGTTGGGTTCTCCTTTGGCTTATAGACGGGTTTGGACATTGCTTCTGCTCTCTGAAGTGCGCAAACTAGCAAACTACGACATCGGAAAGGTCCATTCTACCGTCTTTATATACTTTCCCACCGACTCTGAGGAAAGCGCCGTTGACTCGCTAACAATAGTGCAACTGATCATTTATCTTGAAATCCCGCTTGAAATCGAAACCTCCAAGCAGCGCCGGAGTTTAACGCTGCAACGCCATTGGTCGAAGGTGCGGAGTTGGCTTTCCTACGCTGTCCCTGGTTATGTACGAGCTTCTGGCTTACTTCAACGGTGAGGGTGCTATTAACAAGATGAATCTATACAATTGACTATGAAGGCATCGTCGCACAGAGTCACTGGACCCTTACCAATGACTCTTTGACGCGCCATAAAACCTCCTCGTATCGTTCCCCGTCAGAGTATCCCTCCAGGTGGACGTGTCTAATACACTCTCTGACTCTTGAGGCTGATATGGCATGAGTCTCGTTAACCACGATGAAATCGTATACAGATATCTGTCGTAGGAGTTCCAGTTCGTCACCAAAGTTGTTGATGTGAAGCACGAACGCGTTCTGTGCAATGGACTCCTTCATCTCAAGGTCGATACTGTCGTCAATGCCAAAATCAAACTCCACTCTTGGATATGGCCTGGTCTCATTTCCATCTGAATCGCTTTCTGGTGTTAGTCCATTCGCAGTGTAACTCTGCATCGCGTCGCCCGTCAGCGACGTGGTGCTGAAATTCGGTGTGTTCAGGAACGAGTTCAACTGCGACGAGCTCCTGTACTCTTCGCCTATGGAGCCACCTGGGTGTCTCTCTCCAAATATCCGCTTCCTCTCGTTGATATCTGACACATACACCTCGGACAATGCGATGCTGACGGCGTCTGCGAGTGCAAGGCATAACGTTGTGGATATCGTTGGTGCATTAAGGCCGTATATGGTCTGCTCTGATAGCTCTGTAGGCAACTCTGCAAACAGCAGCGACTTGACCTGCAGGTGTGCCGATAACGTACTCGTCCTCTTGTTTGTCAACAGCACAACAGGCACCTCAGGCGGGATGTGTTGTAAAAGATGAACCATCTCTGGTGATTTCCCGGAGGAAGAAATCATAACGAGACAATCGCTATTCTCCTTGCGCAGGATACCCAAATCACCGTGTAGTGCCTCTGTCGGATGTAGCGTGGC